ACTGGATGTTAATTGCATATCGTTATCTCCCCCGCACCCCACCCACCCACCCAAGATGGAGGAAAGGAAGTGCTGTCCATGCACCAGATTCTCCTCTACTTATTACGGTGCAGCAAAGCCCTGGTTCCTGAAGAGGAGATTGCCAATATGCTTCAGTGGGAAGAACTTGAGTGGCAGAAATATGCCGAAGAATGCAAAGGCATGATCGTCACCAATCCTGGAACGGTATGTTCTGGTGCTTACACATTCAGAAACTGAGTCACCTTCTCTGAATATTTCATGGAAACAGTATCAAAATATTTTAAAAGTTTAACTACTGATTGCTTCTTGTCCTTCGAATAATTTTTCCTTTAAATATTTAGTAAGAAAAATATAACAATGTAAGCATATTTAGTGGTAAGTTCATCTGATTATTAAGTTTATTATGCCCATTATGGAGAATTATGAAGTTCTTAGATATCTTAAGGTCTGATTTTTTTTTTCTGAGTATAAAAGTAATATATTTCTACTATAGAAAATAAGGAAAATAGAAGAATAGCCCAAAGAACATAATAAAAATTATCCATCATTCCATTCTGTATAGATGATACTATATACTTTTCCATTCTCTTTGGAATACATTTCATATTGTTTTGAAACAAAATTGGCATTATATGTTAGGTATTAATATTCAGATTTTTTCCTTCTCATCCCCCTTCAGAAACAACTACCAGGAAAATAACATTTTTTCTGTAGTCTTAAATTTCTTTGGGAATATAATAAAAAAGGACCCCAATTTATTTAACTGCCCAGAGGTTGAGTACCTGCATTGCTTCCAGGTTTTTGCCGTAACAAATAATGCCATATTGAATTTTGTATTGTATATGTGTCTATAAACATGTATATACACATATGTATGTATGTATCTTTGAATATATGTCCATTTAATTCCTTAGGAAGAAGTCCTGTAGTAGGCTGAGGAAATGCACATTTTTAAGACTTTTTAATACATGTTGTAAATTGCCTTCTAGAAGGGATATAAAATTTTTGCATTCTGACTAGAAGTAGGTGAGAGCCCGTTTTTATGTATTGATTATAATAGTTTAATAAAAAGCTCTGTTGGGAAAAATTATTCCTTTCATTTTGTATATATTTTGATTTCTAGCAAAAATTGATATTTTAAATGTTTATTGGCTTTTCACATTTTCTTTTGATGATGATCTACTAATACCCTTTGTCTAATTACCTTTTGTGACATTTGTTGTTTTATATTGATCTTCTTATTGACAATGCTTTGTGGTAATTACTACAAATGTTCCCCATTTTTCTTTCTTAAATTTTTTGTTTTAAAATTAGCTTCTAATGTTAATTTTTGAAGTAAAAATATAAAAATTAAGAGCAGAGAATTAAAAAATAACTAGTTTTCTCTTATAAAGAAATATGTATTATGTTAATTTAAGTGACTTTTTTTCCCTGAAATATTTTGCTGTTTTAGAAAACAGCTATATACTGGTATCTTATCAGGATAAAGTTTTCCAGACATGGAGAATTAAAATACTTCCATGTAAAGAAGCAGAGTAATCCATTTAAACAAAGTTGTTGTTTTAAAGAGGCTGCCAAATTGTGTAATAGCCTTGATTCATAAACATAAAAATAAAAGTTCATAAAAGTAAAAACTGGATCAACTTTTAGTAGCGTGACCCAAACATCTGCACAAACAAAATGTTGCTATTTGCACATCAAACATTCCAGCTAATACTGATTATTTTAAATCAAGAAAATGAAAGTATATTAAAAATGTTTACACGTAAAATTTGCTTTAAACTAAAAAATTATACTTTTACTGTTAATATTGTAAAGCCACATAAATAATGGTTTAACTTGAAAAGAAACATACAAGTCATAGCACAATGAGAGTATGACTGAACTTAATTTTTCTTTTTTAAATAGTTGTAGAAATCTGTGTTTCTTCTGTCAGTTTTACAGCTGGATTAGAGGATGGGTGCGGGTGGGGCTGGTGGGTGGTGACATACCGTTTCGTCCTGATGGGTCCCCGTGAGAGTCCCCCTAATCTGCAGTGGCACTTAGGGAGCACTTTCACCCTGGGGCTTCCTTCCATGACATGGCTGAAATCTCCTGAAATCCTAGAATTAGTTGGAGATCTTTTGAACATACAAGAATGCCCTGATTGACCCTACCTGGTATACTTCAGGTAGTAGGGCCCAAGGATCGGTATATTAAAAATGAAATCCTCAGGTGCTTCTGATTGACCCATTGCGTGTGTTTTAGCCAGTGGCATAAGACATTTACTCCATTACCACGGTCATGTTCAGTTCATTTGTTGAGGGGACTATTATAAACTAGTGAGCCAGGTGCTAGTGAAGTATATAGATTATATGTGATGTTTGCCCAGGCACAAACTCATGGCATAGCCACATGAAAGGATTCTGTGCTGAATTGTTGAATCAGTGGACCAGTCAGTAAAAAAGCCATTCAGAAAAGCCTTTGGTTGTGGTGAGGCCACTGGGCCAGGCTGCCAGGAATGCATCCTAAATACTGCAGTGAATTCCTTATGTAATTGAGAAATTGCATAAATCACTGGTGTGATTAAATGTATGTATTTGGGATGGTATATGGCCAGTTTCGGAGATAATGATACCAGGTTAATCAGAGTGAAAGGTTTAATGTTGGAAAGTAATTGGAGATCAATTAAGAATTTGGGTGTCAGTCTTAGGAACATGTTGAAATTAATAAAAATATGTTTAAAGGAAGAAATATCCTGAAAATTCAGTGTCACAAAAACAACCTTCATTATATCTTTTGAGAATAGGGCAGAGTAGACATGGCACTACATTTCATCCACTCTAGTACTTGCTTTGAAAGATTGCCCAGTGGTAAGGATATTGGGGAATTCATTAAATTTTCCAGCCATTATGGTCACATTAAGTGCTTTATTGCTGCAGAGCTTAAAAGAATTAATCTCCCTCCCTAGGCCTTTCCTCTACCAGGGAATACTTTGTTCTTAGTGAAAATGTTTTTTATTCTTCTACAAAGAATCTGGTATGACGGATATTGTAGAATGTGGTCAAAATCTAGAACTTTTTCATTCCTCCCACTATAAATTTAGAGATACTATAGATATTTTAAATCACTGTTTCTTCTGTTGATACCACAACTGGGTTTAAAATCACCAAAACATGAATAATTCATTAGCATTTTTCAGTTGTAGAATTTCTCATTTAAAAATGTCTCTTGCTGCTTTGATGCACAAACTATTGAAAACAATTCTTGGACCTAGATAACATGTTGCTACTGTCAGATGGGTACTTAAATAATTTCCTATTACGTTACCTGTGACCAAAATCTTGTCCAGTTAATTTTGAGAGGGAAGGTCAACTTTTCAAGATACTGGTGAAAATTTGATTGCTAAATGATATATAATATTCAAAAACTTAGGTATAAATTGTTTTTAATTAATGTGGATGAATTTACACAAATCTGTTCACTGTCGTCTACTTGGATATGTCAGATGGCTGACTGGGGCTACAGCTGTGGATGGGCTAACTAGCTAGTCCTGTTTACCAGGGGCCATTCCAGCATTAGCACTGAAACCCCTCCATCCTAGACAAAACAAGCCACCAAACCGACTCTAGGAATTGGGCATAGTTGTTGGGCATTGCTATGTGGCAGAATGAAGCTTATTGGCCTCTGTGTGGATCAGTTCTGTAACCTTTGGCTTCAAAGCAGCTAAGCTAAAGACCCCCATAATCTCCTAGGAAGAATTTATTTCTTACTAGGGACTGCCCTGAGGGTTGAGTATAAGCAAGTAGATTGCTAAAATATACTTTCAGTAATTTCACCATCATTTTACAAATTAAGCTTTCAGAATGAAAGGTATTTTACAAATGGTTCCTCATATTTTAGTTAACTTAAGAAGGACCAGCTGTTCACTTCTTCCTTTATTAGATTGAAAAAAAACCAAAACATGGTAGTTGTCTTTAAAACTCTGACTTACTTCATTTAGCAAAATACCCTTAAGGTCCCTCCAATATTGTTGCAAATGGCAAGATTCCATTCTTGCATTTACTCATATGTGGAATTTTACTTATATGTGGAATCTAAAAAACAAAACAAGATAAAATTCATAGATACTGAGAAGGGATTGGTGATTGCTAGAGGGAAGCGGGTGGGGGAATGAGCAAAATGGGTGAAGGGGGCTCAAGAGGTACAAACCAGTTACAAAACAAATATGTCATGAGGATGTAATATACAGCATGGAGACTATAGTCAGTAATATTGTATTGCATATTTGAAAGTTGCTAAAAGGTAGATCTTGGAAATTCTCATCATAAGAAAAAAAGTTTGTTTACCTTTATGGTGACAGACTAGACTTACTGTAATCGCTTCAAAATATATACAGATATCAAATCATGTTGTACACCTGGAACTAACATGTTATGTGTCACTTATACTTAAAAAAAAGGAAAAGTAGGAATACACAAAGTATACAGAGAACTAATGAGAAAAAAACTGTACAGAGACATCTATCTGAGCATCCTGAGAAGTAAGCCATTCATTTGGAATGTGATATTAAAGCAGGATAAGCCAGCACGTCTCTTCCCTGTGATGTGGAATACTTTCTCGGTGTCTTTGTAGAGGTTAAGAAGAAGTTACATGTGACTAGGTGTCCTTTTTAAAAGTTTAATTTTTAAAGGTTTCTATGTGGACTGCAAAAAAGAACAAAATCATTGTTCATTATGCCAAATGGCATAGACTCATTTACAGATATGACATTATAGTTTTTATATAGTGTATAGCTGTTATGATTAAAGGGTTTTAAATGGCATTCTTCCTTTAGGGATGAGGCTTTCCTAGAAAAAAATCCGATTAATTTCTTCCCCATAGTTAAAGTCAATACTTAAAGACTTCTCATGGGAATAAATGGCTTTGATTTTTCTCTCTAGAAACCCAGCTCTGTCCGCATCGATCAACTGGATCGTGAACAGTTCAACCCTGATGTGATTACTTTTCCGATTATTGTCCACTTTGGGATACGCCCTGCACAGTTGAGTTATGCAGGAGACCCACAGTAAGATATTTCTCGGTGTTTGTCTTAGCCAATTTCACCTTCTACTAACAGCTGAATTAGCAGAGGAAAACCCTTCAGTGGATATTTCTTTTTTAAAAATTAGGACCTGAAATGAGCCATGTTTCCAAATTTAGGTTATCAAATGAAAAAAGTTTTGGTATCCCCTGAAAGATTATTTTTCTACATATTTAACTGCAGGAAATTACTCTTAATAGATTATCCTTGGCAATCTTGGTCAACATGAGTCCTGTATGTTTCTAACCTTTGAGGAGCCATTCCTTTGTCTTTATAATACTTATTATTATTTTTTTATTTTTTCAGTGCCCTGTAGAGGAAAGTAGCACCATGTTGCTTCCTAGTGCTGCCTAATTCATGCAGAGTTCTATTTTTGGGGGCTTCTTAATACGAGCTCAAGATCCCATGCAGAGGCAAGGGTTGTGTCAGAAGGAGAAGGTGTAACTTCTGACTCTTAGGATTGATGTTACCTTCCACATTTTAGTTTTGCCAACTGGCATGTTAGTGTTTTTCTGGGACAAGATGAGGATGTGTGGGAATGGAAATAGTACCATTATATTCTTCAGGAGTGTTTGGATTTCTTACCTCATTAAACAGTTTCCTGACTTTTTTTTTTTTTTTTTGAGGATTTATAATGGGAGAGAAGGGCATGGGCAGTTTTCAGTTCATAAATACATTTCTGGCTGATATATTAGAAAAGGCTAAAGGGTTTTGTTCTTTTTTTCCCCCCTTTGGATAAAAGTATGAAGCAGTGAACCAGGCACTGTGTAAGTACTTCTTTCTTTCCTCCCTTCTCTAAAAAATTGTGATCCAAAAGGAGTGACCCACCTTAGGCCAAGAAAGGAGCAGTTCCAATATGACAGGAAATCCTTTGAAAGTCCCTTCTTTTCAGAAAAATGTTAGTAGAATGTGATAGGCTCTCGTGGACTCTGAGAAGGCAGGACTGTGAATTGCTAAAGGACTGCATATTGTCTCCATTCCCAGGGTGCTTTTATGGAACCTTTTAGATTGATACAGGTTATCATGTATTTGGCTACAACAAATACGCTTATTTTTGTCATGGTGAATACAAGTTGGTGTATACCATTTGTCTTTTTGTCTGTCCAGTGGAAAATGAGTACAGCTACATAGCTTGGGTCTTGGCACAAACAGGGTTCTCTTTTCTAATCCTCTCCAACTCTTACTTTCATTGTAGGCAGTTCAGAGATCAACAGTATCCTTATTAAGTAAAGGATCTTTCAACAGCATCAGAAAGCACATATTTAAGTAAAATGTGTCATTTTCAAAGAGGTAACAATGAGAAACAGTACATGTTTCTATTGGTTTTTGTGTGTCTTTAGAAATCTCTCCAGAGAGATTCATCCATATAGTAACACCTCATTTTCAACTTAAATTTACAATTGTGAAGTTAATCATTAGGTTTCAGATGATTCTTGGTCGTCCTGCCCTTCCACCCCCAAATCATATCCTTCCTTAGAATGAAGGTTTGCTGTCATTAAGGATATTCAAAAGAATGCAATTTATGATTGAACAGGCCTATTAAAACAACTGGTTTTATTGCACTTCAGATTCACCTCCTCTTTGTCTAAGATGTTTGTCTGTCATTTTCCTTAGGTACCAGAAACTGTGGAAGAGTTATGTGAAACTTCGCCACCTCCTAGCAAATAGCCCCAAAGTCAAACAAACTGACAAACAGAAGCTGGCCCAGAGAGAGGTTGGTACCTAAGCCTGTTCTGTAATTAACAATGACACTTTTCAAGTTTATGTCAAGATTGTTGCATTACACTATACTGCTAGAGTAAGACAGATAAAATAGTTTTTAAAAAATCATTCTTTACTCCTCATATTGGTTTCATGGATTGATTGTTTTTCTCTTCTTTTAGTGTCTTAAGTGATCACTGTTCCGTTTAAAAAGGCCAGTTTCAGAATGGATTGCCACCAGTAGGAATAAATATATCCTTTATAGAAATTTTTAAGTTTAAAAACTGGCTAGGTCAGCGTTTTATCTTTAATTAGACTGCACATAATACAACACTGGGCCTTATCAAATTTCTTGGTTTTAAGGTTATAAAAGATTGTCTTCCATGTGTCTGGGAGTATAGTAGGGTGAACTTAATTCATTAAGTTTTAATATCAAAATTCCGTATTTCTTTACGAATGGGTAGTATTATCCCTGTATTCCACGATCATTTGTATTTTAATCGTAATTCTTATTTTTAGGAATCAATGGATTCAGTATCAACATAGATTCTGTCTCAATGAAGTTTTATTCTGCTGCAGTAGTGTAAGAGAGCAAGGCTTTGAAATGGAAAAGTCTTCAAATTCTGTCCTTTCACTTGCTATGTCTTAAGCCAGACAGCTTCATTCTAAAGAAGGGAACCAAGGCCTGGAGTGGCTAACTGCAATGTCCCTCTGTTGGTGTACCAAGGGAAAGGGTGGCTGTGAGGACTTCTGAAATACTCCATTTAACTTTCGTCCAGTGGTGTTTGGCCTTAATCAGTGATGGAGGTGGTGTAGTGGTGGTTCCTGTTGTTACTGTGAATTCCTGTGGAATTTTCATTGAATAAGCATACAAATACAAAATTGTTTTTATAATTAATTATTTGAAGGGCAATAAAAGGGAAGAGTCAGTTCCTAATGTGCTTTGCAGAAGACTTAGATCACTGTCTTTCTTAAATAAGATGTACCCTTGCTCTAAGAGTTTTTGTAAGGGGTTTGCAAATTAGAAGGCATGTTTTAGAATTATATGGTTGCAGATTAATTTACTGATTGTTTTTCTCAGGCGTAAATGCTTAACATAAGACTTGATTTAAATAGAACTTTCAAATGCTGATTTCAGATCCCAAACACCACATTTTATTTCTTTATCAGGGAAAGGTCATTTTTTTTTGTTTGAACTCACCAGAATGGTAGATTTGGTTTAGATTTTTTTTTTTTAGTTGCCAGGAAAGGCTGGGTTATACTCAAGCCTTCAAGCTTCCTGGACTTCATTTCAAATAAAATATTGTAATTTTGGTATGGAGATGTTTGAGTACCTGAATGTAAGGGTGATACTGAATAAATACAGCTTATTTTCTAATGCTTGGTGTTTGGCTTAATAGTGCTTTACAATTGTCAGGTTACTCATAATAATGAGTTCTTTTCTAGGAAGCGCTCCAAAAAATACGACAGAAGAATACAATGAGGCGAGAAGTAACAGTGGAGCTAAGCAGCCAAGGATTCTGGAAAACCGGCATCCGTTCTGATGTCTGTCAGGTGATGAAGCTTCTGAGAACACCATTATACCCATGTATCTCTTCCTTTAAAAGGCATCTGGCGCTGATGTTTTCCTATTTCTGAGAATTTTCTACAGAACATATTACCTGTAGCTATGTGGTATACCAACCATAAACTGTTTTTTGTCATTTCGGTTTCGTTTTTGTGTCAGTTTTCATGTTGTCTTGTTTGTTTGTTTTGTGTGTGTGTGTGTGTACGTGCACACACGCGCCCATGTGCACAATTGTGGGGTGGGGAGTGCTTCCTTAGAAATGCTAAATTCTGTGTCTGCATTCTTCAAATGTACCTGCCTGTTTGTAGCACATTGTTCTGCTTGTTAAAAGAGATACTCGAGTAGCTGTATAGGCAGCCTTCTGAAGGGAGTGTGTACAAACTTTCCAGATGGTTGACTCTGACTTATGTTGCATAAATTGAAGGCATTGATGGGCAGATTCAGTATAAATTACCTATTTGAGCCAAATAATATTTTTTCCTTGGGTGAACTTAACAGAGGAACATTTCAGCTGTATATAAATGACCCACTAATATATTTTTGTTTTCTCTGTGGATGGAATTATACCATAGATTAGAAATGCCCAAAACCCAGCATGTTCTTTGACTCTTCATTTGATTCATTTGTTATGATTGATACTGGTTATGCTCCATGGGAATTACAGTAAAGGAAAATTCAGTACACAAGCTGGGGTCAGGAAATATAATTTGCTGTGTTCAACCTTTTGGAAGAATACTTAGAGGCTTCTGCTTTACGTATTTTGATGGTTGCATGTATAGCAATAAGTTCAGGCCCTCATAGGTATTCATTTCATCTAATGAAGTTTTTTTTTAAAATCAGTGTTGGCATTTAATTATATTGAACAGTGGAATTTAATCCTATCATTAAAGATATTGTTATGTTATCCATTTACCATGTGATATCCAAAGCTAATTATTTTTGTGTTAAGATAAACTGCTGTCAATGCAGTATTGCTAGACAGATTGCAGACTGTCATCTACAGTGATGGCAGCTACATCCACCAAGTCCTCAGTTTTTTTGTCAACTGACCTTTTTATTTTAACTGCCAGTACTTTCAGACGTGAATATCTTACTTCCATTGATTCTTTCTTAGGGCCTCTTAAAGTCCTCTCATCCAGTTTTTCTATTTGCTAGTGTTTCTCCAAAACCAACATACTGTCATCTTAAGATAGATTTCATCAGAACAGTGAGCAGAATGTTCAGCAGTCTGTTCCAATGCTGCTGATTTGGTGATAAGGCGAAGTTGATTGTTTAAGAGATCATGAAATTCAGCAGTGTTAAGAACTGGAAGGGACCTAGAGATCTTCCAGGTCAGCAGTTTTTAAATTTGTATTTTTGGTTAACTTTGAAGTTTTTTTCTTTTTGTTTTTTTAAACCTAGTGGAACCTTAATTTGTAAAAAGATACAAAATAACTAATGGATTGGTGGGTGGTGGCTGTGGAGGGAGTATCCTGTTAACTTGATTTCTCTCTCACCCCATTTAGCAGCCACTAGGGCAGTTCTGTTCCACTGAACATAACTTTTTTTTTTTTACATTGAGCCCTTTTTTGCCTTTAGGTAAAAAAAAAAAAAAATTGGATGCTGAATGATCTGTTCCATTGCATTTTGTATTCTTCTTCTGTGTAACAAATGTCTCTGGCTCTTGAGCCAAATTAGAAGCAGTTTGAGGACTAGGTTATCTTCTCTGTGTTTTACATTTTACATTCTGTTTTGAGGTTGGGGCCAAAAACTTTCAGTTAGTTTCTTTGACTAATACTGGCCAGAGAAGATGGATCCTGAGTAAAAATCCTGCCAAGGGGTTGATCTAATGAAAGTCCCTCTCTTTGCAGGACTCTCACTCTTCTGCAGATAGCTGCCATCTGTTTAAAGAACTTGTTCCCCTTCTTCAGTGGTCCTATTTTTTTAACAACTAATTTTGTCTTGTAACTATATTTCATTTCTTATCCTAGAATAAGTGTTTTCTTTTTGTCTGTGTTCCTCAAATAAGATGGCAGGTGGAATGTAATAATGCAGTTTAAGACATTCAAAATAAATATGTTTAGAATTTTTGGTGATGAAGAATAAGAATTTGGTTGAGAAATAGCAGTTAAATGAGATTATACCCTGGATAATTTGAATAACTGATGCCTGTGGACAGATAGACTCATACTTAGTTTTAAGGGAAAAAAGGCTGAGCACTTCTCTAAATCCTCAGGGAGGGGAGGTTCTTTGTTTCTTAGTTCACTGATGTAGAACCTACTGTTTATTAGTAATAATTGTGGGCAGGTTGTTGGCAAAATCCTTGTGACACTCTCTGGCTACAACTGGAGATACAGCTTGCTGTGATGAGACTGAGGTGGGATAACCTCAGCACCAGCATCTCAACTCTAGATGTTTAATTGTCCAACCAGAGAAGTTACCAGGTTGTGAGGAGGTTGGAAGACTACATGATTCCTCAACCAGTGTTAGGAGGAATGGAAACCTAGGGGTGGTCCTCTAGCCTGAAATAACATGGGAACTAAATGCAGACTTGAAACCATGTTTAGAGAAAAACTGTTGAGAGATTTTCTCTGTGTTGCTGCTGGTTAAGAGTGGATTCTGGGCAAAATGGAAGAAAATGCAAGAATTAAAACCTGAAACTCAAGTTTAAAAGTTCAGCATCATGACTCAGAAAAAGAACATCAGTATGTTGGTATAGGATCTATACTTTCAGAATGGGGTTTTGCATTTTGAACTGGTATCTTATAGAAGTAGATATTTGTACCCAGTGGTGTACTAGGGATGTGGTCCATGGAACTTAATCAACCAAATCATAAGAATGGAGAATGGATAAATGTGATACACAGAGATGTCAAAAAAGGAGCAAAGAATCCTCACCATTATGGTCATATAACCAGTAAGGGGCTCATACCAAACTGTGGACACTCCACCTCATTGTGCAAAATATGGAGGCATGGTGCCTGAAGAACTACTGTTGGTCTTGAGAAGAAATTTGAGTAGTGGTGGTAGGTGTTTGTACTGAGTAGACAGAGAGTTTATTTGGACTAATTAATAGCTGTGCTGTCTTCCTACAGTGACTGTCTGGACTAGGGTGGAGGACAGCAATGTGTTACCAAATTAACGGATACTCTCAATCAGTGATTTATCAGGGGATGACTGAATAGCGAAAAGAAGAATCTTTTCTGTGGTTAAGAGGTTTTTGACTCACATTGAAGGAAGTATTTTCTAAGTTAGAACTCGGGAGAGAAAAAGGAACCTCTGAGAAACATATGGCTTCACAGTTATTCTTAACAAATTTTGGGAGCATGTGAGATACTTTTTTTTTTTTTCACTGGAGAATATAGTGCTTCTTAGGAAGGAAAGGAAGGAGATTTTGCTTAAAGCTAACTGCCCTGATAGAGAACTTTTAGTATTATATTTTTATTATAAAAATTCCAAATATGTACAAGATTAGAAAGAAAAGTGTGCTGAACTCTCCGTACTCATCGCACAGCTTCAGCAGTTACCATTTCTGTGATACCAGATAATAGTCCATGTTCCCATTTTCCTGATTGTCTGTTACATTTATTTCAGTCTGCTTGAATTGGGGTCCAAGCAAGATCCATACATGGTAATTAGTTGATGTTTTTTAAGTCTCCTTAATCTGTGGGTTCTCATTACATTTCTTCTCTTTGTTTTCCTTGAAAATTTTGAAAGAAACTGGATCATATGTGCTATAAAGTCCTAAGATCCAGTCAGGGTTTTGCTGATTACAACCTTATGGTGTCACTTAACACATGCGTCTGTCCCTTGTGTTTCTTATAAATTCGTAGTTAGATCAAAAGTGTACTGTCCAGTATAGTACCTCTGGCCTCAAATTGCTCTTTAAATTGAAATTAATTGAAATTATGAAATTGAAAAACTCAGTTCCTACTTGTCCTAAGAACACATTGTAACAGCTCAGACACAGAATATTTCCATCATCATAGTTCTATCGGATAGTAGTGATCAGATTTAAGTTCATTTTTTTGGTGCAACTTTTTCATAGGTAGTGGTGTGGTCTCTTTTTGTCTGTGTGACATTATTAGTCATTGGATCATGATGAAACCCAGGAATTCTGTAGGGACTGCCAAAGTGGTATTCTTTCTTTCTGCATTTATTAGTTAAAATACTTTTAAAAAGAATCTTCCCCTCATCAACTATTTAATTACTTTGAGGTACAGACCCATATAGGAAAAAACAAAAAAAAGTACTCATTTGATTTATTCCATAACATATAAACAGTAGTCCCAGAATAACAATATTAATGGTACCACAGCAGTATGTTTATGGAAAGTAGTTGCTTGTTTGGGGATATTCCTTTTTGTAATTATCTCAAGGTATAATCCTATCAGGCATATATATTCAGATTACTGTGTTATAAAATTGCTTGGGCTTATGCCACAGACTGGATGCACAGACCCATTGGTTTCATTTTCGTTTGACTTTTGATTTTAAGGGTTCCTTTTAAAAATTAAATATAGTTTTATAATTATGCATGATATTTAACTGTGATTCCAAAATCGTATTTGCAAAGACCAGAATGTTTTTAAAAATCAAACTCCTATCTTTGTTCCTTCTACCCTGTTCTTGCCACCTTGTACCTCCAAATGTAACCATCTTTTAGAAATGATTTAATTTTTTCCATTTCAGTATAAACAAATGCATACACACACACAGGTTTATTTGGTCTCCCCTCTGTCAAGCTGTTTTCTGTTATGTGATCATTATGAGGTTTTGCCTTTTTTTCTTTGCACATCTCTTTTTGTATTTAAGAAGGTTTCTGTTTTTCTAATGGTTACCTTTATATGAACACATTTATAGTATAATTAAACTTTTCTCCTCCCTGTTTCTCTTTCTGTGTGTGTAGTGTGTATGTGTGTGTGTCTCCTATTGTTATTGAAAATAACTACTCTTTACCACTTTGCTCCTCTCTCTCACCCAGCATCTAATTTGAAGTGATAGCCTTTTACTGCAAGTGAATATCTAGGAGGCATGTAGCAAACTTGTCCTGCTTTTTAGGTGCTACTCATTCTCCCCTCATTTTCTGGTGGTTGTACTAATCTGTTGGAGTATTTAGCTATCTCCTATAATGTTGACCCACTTATGATTATCTACAGGTGAAAATAAATTTGAAGGTATTCACTAGGCCCTATGCCAATGACTGTCCCTTTTGTTTGTTTGTTTTTTAGTCATCCAAATTTTACTTAATAGATTCCTCAGGAAGGGCTCAGTGAAGCAATCAATAATCCTTGAGTTCCTATGTGTTCCTAACAGTTTGTCTTTGAATATACAGGCCACTTAAAATAGATGTGAAGTCTGCAGTTACATTTTCTTTCCTTAATATCTTAAATATGTTCTCATTGTTTTCTGCTATAAAGTATTGAAGTCAAAAGTGTGATAACAATATAAGTTTTATAGGTGACTTGGTCCTTTCGTCAGTGCCTAAAGGATTTTTTTTTACCTTAAAAACTAGCAATAGTTTTACTAGAATATATTTCCGCTCTTTTTTTGGTTAATTTTTCAGTGCCTTTTCAGTACATACTTCAAAGTTGTCTTTTATCTCAGGTCAGTTTTCTTGAATTGAACATTGTATTATTTTGTTCTATTGTTTTGATTTTCTTCTTTAAGGACTCCTATTATTTACATCTTGTATCTTCTTTGCTTTTGTGGCTATTATTTTCTCTTGAATTTTTTTTTTGATTTTTTGATTTTTCTTAAAGTTTTTCTCTTTTCCATCTTTGTTTCTCAAAGGTGCTATTCATTGGTTAATATGCTGTTGTATTCTTTATTTTTAGTCTATATTGAAATGGTTATTTCTTTTTATGTCTTTCCCGTTCACTTCTTCAGTGTGTCACTTCTTTTCACATCTTCCTTCCAATCATTCATTTCTTGGAGTAATATAATATTTATTTGTAGCTTTCTTTTATCGTTCCTATTGCTGTTTTAATTTTGTTTAGCTTGTTTTGAAATATTAGGTTACAACTTTCATCTGTTTTGTTGGCATGTTTTTCTGGCTTTTCTTTTTTAATTTAATTAGAGGGGTCTTATTCTATTCCTTTTCTCTATTTTCTTATAAAGTCCTTTTGTGGGATTTGTCATGATTCTTTTCTGTTGCTCTTTAAGTTAAATAATGTTAAGTAAGTTAAATAAGTGAAAAATTTTCCTGCAATTTTAGGAAGGAACCATAAGCCAGACTAGCTATTCATGGTTCTGGGGCCCTTCCTTCTGTTGTTTTTGCAAAGTGATAAAAATACATGGCCTCATAATTTCTGGGACCTGCCCCATTTGCTTCCCTGCTCTATTTTTATCTAGACTTTCTTCCCTATGCCCTTTATTGTTCCTATCCTGCTTAAATGTGGCTTTTAATACTGCACTTTCTTCACACTGTGGGGCTTTACCCAGGAAGGGAACTTCAGTTTTAACTTTTGAGCACATATAGAGCCCTGCTCCTCTGGCACTGTCCCCTTGTACTCACTCAGAGCCCTCTCCAGTCTTGGTCATATTTCCAATAAATACATGTTAATTTAGGGGATCTTTATTCTCAGGGTCATCAGAATCCCTATTGCTTTCCCTGTTTTTTCTCTTTCACAGTTGCTGAGACCACATAGGTCTTGGTCTTCACCATTCTTACTTAGATAGATGTTCATGTAGATACACTGTTGTCTAGATTTTATGTATATATTGTTCATAGGTCTATTTTGCTAATCTAGTTGCTTTGTTTTTATGGGAGAATTTGAATAGATTTTGAAACTGTACATTGCCATTTCCTTACAGTCTTCCAAAGGAGATTTTTTTAAGTAAAAACAGTTGCCAGGCATGAATGAAAGGGGAGAGAGATGCTTAGTGATGTATTTCAACATTGCAAAGATTGACAATTTAAAAAACTGAGTTAAAGATTTAACAATCTTAAAGATATTGAGACTTTGTTCTCTTGGATATAAGATGGATGTGGGTCATATATACCGTTCCATAGTATTCACAAGAAACAGACTTAATTTGGAAAGACAAACTGGCTCTCTTTGAAGCAAGTTTAGAAGTGGTGAAGGAACTTAAAGCTGTTTCACGTGAGTAAAGGTTAGAGGAAATAGACTTAGGTTAGCTAAGAGAAGATGTGGGGACTTTACCATTAAATGTATTTTGTTTGTCTCCAGTGGGTAGAACTTAGTTCAAAAGTGTAAACCTCCAAAGAGACAGATTTGGACTTAATGTTAATAATAATTTTCTAATAATTAGAGTACTCTAAAGAGGGTGTTATTTTCTTGTCAGGTAATGAGTCATCTTACTTTTGAAAGATAGTTGTACTGCATAGTCTTCATGACCCATCCACCTTGAGATTTTAGCATCAACTCCCTGAGTGCCCTGAAATTTAAATGGCTGGAGAACTATATTATATTCTGGCTGCATATTTTATTTCCATATTATTGTGTTTTTTAATGCAGCCTTTATGGAAACAAAGTGGGCAAAGTGCCATCAATTAATATCATAATGGCATATCTCTCAGAAGCCCTTGGGGTCAAAAAGAGTATCTTCATTTTTTTATCTTCCACAACTATTGTAAGCCTTGCGCATAGAAGTGCTCAATATTTATTTATTGAATTGAACACAAAGAAAGACTTTCTGTTGATTAGAGATCCTGTTTGGGAGAACTAATCTTTCATTGTAAGTTAATAATACAGGAAACTGATTTCTATAGTTTTAGGCAAATACATTTTCATATATTTTTAAACAATGCCAGTTTAAAGTACTTAAAAGACTTAAAATGATGTAAAGCATATGTCAGTTATTTTGTGGGCTGTGCCCATTCTCCAGGTTCTCATTTATTAGAATGATCCCATAATGCTCTTGAGTTCTAGAGAAACATAAAAAATAAAGAAAAAGGTATACCTTGCATGAAATCATCTTCCAATAAGGAATCTGTAGTGAAATGAAAAGCGATTAGAAACAAAAATGAAATTTCTGTGTCCTCAGGTAACTTAATACATTGGTAGTTTTATAAAAATTATCCTCAGAATGTTAGATCATTAAGTGTTAACCTAGAATGGCCTTTCAAGGTCACCCAGCTAAGTTCTTACCTGGAGCATAGTGATTGGGCTTTAGGAGTTGGTGAACACATTAAAATTGCATATAATTTTTGCATGTTTGTGCACATAGGCATTTTTCTGGGGAAAAGAGTCATTTTCCTTAGGCTCTTAAAAGAGTCTTTACTCTGACAAAGTTCTGGAATTTATGAGTCCTAATCCATTCCCTTAGAGTTAAAGATAGACAAGGAGGCACAGAAAGTCTTACGACTTCCTTGAGGTTACTCTGCTGAGTGCTGACAAGCCAGAGCTCATTCCTAGTTGAATGAGAACTTACAGGCCTTATTCTAAGCCTTTTTTTTATATTTGCTCTTTTAGTCCTTTTAACTGACCTTGAAAGTAGTTACACTGGTTATCCCCACTTTACAGGGAGGAAACTGAGACAGAGAGGTTAAATAACTCACCCAAGTCCCATGTTGAATGAGTGGCAGCAGGATTTGAATCTCTGCATTCTGATTCCAGAGACTATACCCTTAATAACTATGCTCTTATCTCCCCTCTTAGAGGATTTGCCAGGATGCTATATAGCCAGTAAACTGTTCCAAGACTTTGTGAGATGGAATTTGTGATGTAAAATGGTTCTTATTCATTGTAAAATAAATGAAGCGTTTTTATAAGTTTTTATGGAGTTAAACATACTGAAATTTTTTTTTTTCCCCTAGCATGCGATGATGCTGCCTGTTTTGACCCATCATATCCGTTACCACCAATGCCTAATGCATCTGGACAAGTTGATAGGATATACTTTCCAAGATCGTTGTCTGTTACAGGTAAGAATTACTCTCCTGTACACTCAGATAATAACAAGAAAGGAGTAATTCATCTTGCAGGTTACAAATGGAGCATTGAGACTCTCTGTTCTGGAAGATGATGAGGCTGTTTAGAAACAGCTCTCTCCATTACTCTACTTTGGGTTGCCACTTTCAAACCCTTTTTCTTACATTTTTTTAGAGGCTGTTCCTAAAGAAATAGACAAAAGCTAAAATTTGCCTGTCAAACATCAGCCTCTCCTTTCAGCTTTTCTTTCTTTATGACTTTCCAGGTGCTGAGTATTCTAATTCTCTGAAAGACTTCGATTTTTTTAGGTTTGTTGTTTCAGAAGAGGGCTTGAATTAGAGCTGGAAATTTGACATTGGAGGGGATAAAATGGAATGATCAGGGTTTAAAATACAACTGGGATGATATGAAGATAGTGCTTTTATGCTGAGTTTTTTTTTTTTTTCCTTCCTTCTCTTTTTTTTTTTTATTTTGGTATCATTAATCTACAATTACATGAGGAACATTATGTTTACTAGACTCCTCCCATCACCAAGTCCCCCCCACAAACCCCATGACACTCACTGTCCATCAGTGTAGTAAGATACTGTAGAGTCACTACTTGTCTTCTCTGTGTTGCACAGCCCTCCCCATGACCACCCACCCCCACATATTATACATGCTAATTGTACTGCCCTTTCTTTTTACCCCTCCTTATCCCTCCCTTCCCACCCATCCTCCCCAGTCCCTTTCCCTTTGGTAACTGTTAGTCCATTCTTGGGTTCTGTGATTCTGGTCTATGCTGAGTTTTTAAGACTACGCTTACTTTATTGGAATTTTAGCTGGCCATGACTCACCCGAGTCATCACTTAAATTTTGGAATGAATCCTGATCATGCCAGGAATTCTTTATCTAATTGTGGAATTCGGCAGCCCAAATATGGAGATAGAAAAGTTCATCACATGCACATGCGGAAAAAAGGTATATATATTTTGATTCTGCTTTCTTGTTTAGGCTTGTGTTCCCTATTATAAAGTAAATCTCTACCAGGAATAGTTCCTGGTGACTGTTCTATAGTGTCATTCTTTAGTGCTTCTTGACCCATGTATAATAACATTCACTTTGAGCAGAGCATTATAAGAGCAGATGAATTTTTTAGAAAAATTTCTTTCTCCTATCAAGTGTTTTAAGTAACCAAGTTGATCATACTTACAGACATGCAGATATTAAACCTTTCAAAGTAAAATTGGGGTGAGATAGATAATTATTATTCTATATGTTATATCATGGTCCTGGAATGGTTCTAATAGTATTTATTTGTGTATCATTTTTTTAAATAGGAATTAACACCTTAATAAATATTATGTCACGCCTTGGCCAAGATGACCCAACTCCCTCAAGGTAAATAGCTTAAAAATATCATTATTGAGATATAATTCACATACCACACAATTCACCCTTTTAAAGCATATAATGCAACAGTTTTTAATATGTTCACCAAATGCTGCAACTTCTTAACTACCATTTAACTGTAGAACATTTAAATCATCCCCAAAAGAAACCCCATACTCCCCATTTCCCCTCAGCCTGCCTGGCTCTAAGCAACCACCACTCTACTTTCAGTATATTTACAATCTTAATGGATTTGCCTATTCTGCATGTTTTGTATAAATGGGATTGTACAATATAGTTCTTTGTGACTGGCTTCTTTTACTTAACATGTTTTCAAAATTTACCCATGTTACAGTATGTATCAATACTTCATTTATTTTTATTGCCAAAGAATATTCCATGGTATGGATATGCCATATTTTATTTATCCATTCATCAGTTAATGGGCATTTGAGTTATTTCCACTTTTTGACTAATATGAGTGATGTTGCTGTGAATATTTGTGTGTAGGTTTTTGTGTGATACATGTTTTTGATTTTTCTTGTGTGTGTATGTAGGTGTAGAATTTCTGGGTCATATGGTAACTCAGTTTAACCTTTTAGGGAACTGCTGGACTGTTTTCCAAAGTGGCTGTACCATTTTATATTCTTAGCAGCAGCATATAAAAATTCTGATTTTTTCACCTTTCCCAACCCTTATTATTATCTGTCTTTTTGAGTCTAGCTATACTGGTGGGTATGAAGTATTATCTCATTGTGATTTTGTTTATTTCTCTGGTGAATAAATATGTTGAGCATCTTTTTGTGTGCTTATTGGTTATTTGTATCTATTCAGATCTTTTTCCCATGTTTAACTGGGTTATTTTTTGTTGAATAGCGCTCATTTTTTTGTATATTCCAAATATTATCAGTATATGACTTGCAGTATTTTTTCTCATTCTGGAGATCATCTTTTCTTTCTCTTAAAGATGTCATTCAAAATAAGTTTTCATAAAGTCCAATTTAAAACTTTTCCTGTTGGTGCTTTTGGTGTCATGTCTAAGAAACCATTGCCTAATAAAAGTCACAAAGATTTACATCTGTTTCTTGTAAGAGTTTAATAGCTTTTGTCTTATATTTAGATCTTTGGTCTATTTTGAGTTAATATTTATTTATGGTATGATGTTGGGGTCCATCTAGGCACCTTTGTTGAAAATCAATTGGCAGTATATATGAATTTTTATTTTGGGGCTCTCAGTTCTATTCTATTGGTTTATATATTTATCTTTATGATAATACCACATTGTCTTAATGATTGTAGCTTTGTAGTAAGTTTTGAAATCAAAAAGTGCAATATCTCTTACGTTTTTCTTCTTTTTCAAGGTTGTTTTGGTGATTCTGGATTAGTTTATCAATTTTTGCAAAGAAGCCCACTAGGATTTTGCTGAACCTGTAGATCAATTTGTGAATGATTATTATCTTAATATTAAAAGTCTTCTGATCCCTGAATATTGACTGTCTTTACATTTGTCTAAGTCTTTAATTTCTTTCAATAATGTTTCATAGTTTTTAGTTTTTTGTTAAATTTTGTTAAATATACATTTTATATTTTTTGTTATATTTATTACTAAATGTTTTATTCTTTTTTGATGCCATTATAAGTGAAATTGTTTTCTTAATTTCATTTTAGATTGTTCATTGCAAGGGTATAGAAATACAATAGATTTTTGTATATTAATTTTCTATCTTGCAACTTTGATGAGCTCATTTGTTAGCTCTAGTAGTTTTTTTAGTGGGTTCTTTAGGATTTTCTATATGTGTGATCATATCAACTACAAATAGAGTTTTGCTTTTTCTGTTCTAGTCTGGATGCCTTTTATTTCATTGTCTTAACCTAGTCTCCTTGGCTAAAGCCTCTAGTACAATACTGAATAGAAGTGATGAAAGCAGATCTTGTCTTCCTAATCTTAAGGGGAAAACATTTTTCACCATTGAGTATTATGTTAGCTGTGGGTTTTTTGTAGGTGTCTTTTATCAGGTTAAGGGAGTTCTGTTCTCTTCCTAGTTTGCTGAATGGTTTTATTGTGAAAGTGTGTTAAATTTTGTTAAATACATTTCTGCATCTATTGAGATGATCATGTTTTTTTTGTTTTCTTTTTTTTCATTTATTCTACTCATGGTATATTATGTTAATTGATTTTTGGGTGTTAAACCAAACTTGGCTTTTCTGGGACACATCCTGCTTGATCATGATATAATTCTTCTTATGTGCTACAAATTCAGTTTTTTAATATTCTGTTGATGATTTTTGTGTCTATGTTCTTCAGAGAGATTGGTCTGTAGTTTTCTATTCCTGATGAATGATATTCTTGTCTGGTCTCATCACTAAGATAATACTGGCCTTATATAATGGCTTGGGAAGTGTTACATGTTAGCTTTCCTTATTTTATTTCTTGATTTTAAAAGATACCTTCATATTAATATTCTTACTTTTGGATGTCTTTGAGCCTCTGAAGAATCTGGAAAGGAATTAGATTGGGTCTATATAAACTGAATATTTGATGTTGTTCTAGGAAGCTTTTCTTTGTGTGTGAAGTACAGCAGGTTATATTTTGAAAGCCACTAGAGGAGATTGTTTGAGGTCAGCTTTCTTTTAAAAATGGGAAGTTGAGAAGTTGAATAGCCAGGTTGGTCCCACTTGAGATCCAGACTAGATGGGTTAAAGGCGGGTAGAGCAGGGTGAGGAGTAACAGAGCTGAGACAGCTGCCGCACCTGATGACTGACCTCCACAGTGAGAGAATGCCCAGCCAAAGCTGGCACAGCTTCCTTTTGTACCTTTTTCTTCATATATTACTTTGTGTTTTAGATTACCGTGCCTTTAGTTGCTCTTTTGAGGTTATCATAAATCAAACCGTCTACCTTTTCAATCAAGTGCTTAAAAAAAAAAGGCAGAATGAAACTTTAAAATTCTAGTTTGAAGGTGATCATACGCCTCACTATGGTATTCTGTGAGAGTCTAAGATCAGAAGAGAACTGTCTAATTAACAGAGTCCTTAATCACACCCTCAGGGACATAGTGGCAATCGCTTCTTTTTGCTCTGCCATATTCTAGAATCTCCGTATGACCAGTGGCACGGTTTGATAAGTGGAACCCTGAACTCTGCATAGTACCTTTAGCAAGGCTACATACACTATGGACACATAGAGAGCATGGGTTTAAATTATCTTTGTCTCCTGTCTCCCAGCCCCAGTTGTTTGTGTGGAAAGTACATCTTTTGATAGCATTGTTCAGACCTCATGATTTGTTTTCTTTTGCTTTCTTACCATGGCAAAAAGGTTGATGTCTGAGAAACTGTGTTCTTTTTTGAATTTACCATTTTGAAAATATACCACTGACAGAGAATAAACAAATAATTTCTTTTGCCCTTTGACTCCTGGCCTTAGTTGCTTGTGTTGAGAACTTGCTGTGCGTCTCATCTTTTTGCTGATGCAGAGGTGACCTCAAGTTTTTGCTCAGGAAGAGCTTCATAGCCTTGGCAGCCAGGTCTGCTGCTACTTGACTGCAGCTGTCTGGTGGTCCCAGCTGGGCACAGCCCTGGGCACTGTCTTTAAGCTGCATGCAGGTCCAGGGTCATTAATCCAGTGCCTTTTGAGTGTGAGGCAGTTTGTAGGTATTTTAGAGGATCCAAGGGCAAGTAAGACAGAGCCCCACGCCCCAGGAGGCTTGACTGCCTGGGGTGGGGTAAGGGTGCTGTAAACTTAAATAACTTAATGTCAGGCAGACTCTGCTGAGCACTTCAGTGAAGGTCAAAAATAAAACACCCAAGACTGCTGTGGGGCTGAGAACAGCTCTGGCTGTTATCTAGGGATTCTGGGTTGGTTTTATACTTTGCATTTGAATAATTGAGTTCACTGGAAATGGTTGGTCCTCACCCCTGTCTGTATCTTAGTCTGCTGTTATAAAGTGGGATGCAGTAGTCCCTGCTTCTTGGAAGTCGTCTGTGTATCATTGAAGTGAACACTGTGAAATTATGAGTGTTAGTTGTGATCATATCTCCTCCCAAGTTAGCTTGCTCAGAATTTTAGACTTGAGAAAAGAAAGGGAGCAAGTGAAGCCGTAGGTTGTTTTTGTTTGGGCAATCTGTTTCTGGCACTGATGGAAGTAGAAAGGTGGAGGAGCAAGGCAGGCAGCGGGGGGAGCTGAGAGGAGAAACTAGGGCTTGAATTCTTCTCCTGGTCCCTCCCTCCCCTGCCCATTCTGCAGTACAAGTAGTGACAACTTCCCCACAGACAATTTTCCCCACAGACAGCCTCTGCTGTTGGTCATCTTGCTATTCGAGGAAGCCTAGGTCCCTGTTCTTAGTTGCAACCCACTTGAAAGCTTTCTGTGACATCTCATTAATTTCTGAATACATCTGAACCTCCCACCTGGCCATCCTGGCACCTATGGCCTGGCCCCAGACCCCTTTTCCAGGCACATCTTCCTCTTCCCTGCAGCTCTCTACTCACCCGCAAGACTGAGGGGCTGACTGCTGACAGGCCTACTCTCCCTTCCCTGCGTGCGGCAGTCATTGGGCAGTTGCCCCTGGAATGCCCTTGTGACCCTGTGGCATCCTGCCCACTTCTTGTTGGTGTTTGTTTTGTGGTGCCTATTCTAGTTCTTCTGTGTATTACTATTGTGTTATGGGCTGATTTTCTTTATGTAAGCCTTTGAAAGGTCTGTGGGCCCACTCTTCTTTTTTTTATTTTTTATTTTTTATTTCCTTTCCTTTTGTAACTAGTGCCTTTCACAGAGGAGGGGCTCAGTAAATAAGTATTAAAGGAAAGCCTGCCATTCATGATATTATTTTTATCCCAGTTTATTTACTTGTTGACTAGAAACAGGGAAATTGGGGCATTAAGGAGGGTCATGGTCAGAGCCTTCAGCCAGGGTTTGAAAGGCTGGTCAGCATCTTTACTGAATCTGATTTGGGATCAGCTAGGATTTACAAAAAGGCAGGAAGATTTAAAATTAATAAATAAAAATCTGTCTGCCTATCAAAAACACTAAATAATTAACTTTCATCATGGCATCATCTCAAGTGAATACTTCACCCATAATTTTAAAAAGTGTCACTGTTTAAGCACATAAATCTCAGTTGTATAGTTGTATTTAAGTCATGCAAATTATAGTGAAATGTTACTACAGAAAGGGTCTCTGAAGGATTAGGCCTTGGTGTCATTCAAGCAGTCTGTATAACATCAGTAAGACCTTTGGGAAAGAGAGATCAGAAGACTAGTAATGGAAAAATGAAAGAATCAAGCAGCCTTGATTTGTTTTGTTTTTTGATTGGTAGAGTAATTGCTAGACACAATATATAAGAATCTGTTGGATCAACAAACACATATTGACTATTTATTAATACCTTTTTAAAGAATGGTTGTTACAGAATATATTTTCAATCAGTTATATGTAAGTATTCTACATTAAAGACATAATAACAACTTGCATTAAATATATATGAACTCCACTGAGTGAATTTACTGACTTAAGTGCTTCAAGTAAATCCCAGAAATGCTTAACCTGGGATCCATGGGTCTAGTGAGTCAGCTCTAGTAGCTCTGTGACCTCTCCTTCCCACAAATGTCCAGGTAAATGTCATGAATAGAAGGAATTCCTGAATTAGGTGGCAGTTTCCACTGAACATCAAGGCTCCTTCTAGTTTTACTCTACCAGTCACTGTTCGGGGCTTAGAATGAAAAGGTGAGAAAATGTTGTCTGTACCCTAGAATACCAAGGGTAATAGCTAGAATTATTGTGGCCCCTCCCAAGATGGTTTTCCATGGAGTAAATGACACTTTACAGTAACTACTGTGATAGGGAGACTGTTATGTTTTATAAAGTGCTTTGAGTTCTTCAGAAATGTGCTGTATAAATGTTATAGTTAATGTAGATTTTGTAATGCCTTTGTTGAATCAGTTCTCAAAAACAAATGGACTGTTTACTGCTCAGTACACATCTCATCTTGGAGCTTGCTAGTATTTACAAAGGGGGTGATTAAGGAAAGTGTAAACAATGGAAGAAGGAAGAAAAGCTTTGCTACTGCAGTCGGCAAGGACTGGCAGTTTACTCTGATAAACTATTGGATTTTTTCAGACAGACCATTGGAGTAGGAATTGCCCAGGATAATAATAAACTAAAGTGATATTTAATCCCCATTTTTGTTTGTGGCTCATTGCCAGGGCTTAGTCACAGTGTAGCTACAGAAAAGCATATGCTGGATATGAGCAAATTATTTTAATGGATGGCAGACTCACTATTGAATAAACCTGTTTAGAACTGTGACCTTGTATTTTAACATACTGAGTAATAGTCTAACTTTGTGGTTATTAAAATCCTAGACATAGTTCTTGTTTCCCTGAAAGTTTATAAAAGAAATTAAAATTTACGCCAGTATGACTTCATTCAAAATAGTATATGACTCAAAGCAGCTATTATTCTCTGACTAGATGTCTTATTATTTTTTAACAAAGGAAAAGACAAACCAAATATGGTTCATTTCTATCCCAGACCCCTGCCAGGGTTTCTTGCTTTCTATGTTACGTAGATTTTCCTGTATAGTACTTTTAACTGTTGGGAAGAAAATAAAGTATCTACCATAGAAAATTCATTTTTGTTTTACTCTTGTGGAAAAGAATAGGGAATAGTAATTTCTCTCTTTTTAAAAACTCACCATTTCTTTCTTAGTTCCTGTCATTTCTCAGGATAGCAGCTTATTAGGTTTCATGAAATTCAGTTAGCAAGAGGTCTTGGGGGTTAACATCATCTTACCATTATATAATGCCTCTCTTCCTTGATACTTTCTCTAGGAATTATGACAGATGTTTTTGGAGTTCTGGTGTATTTGACAGAAAACAAAATTCGTAGTACTGAATAGCTTCTAAAAGTTTTTTTCTTAATACAATGTTTTATACTCCACCATGGAACTTTTTAATCATTCTTGGCTAGTAGAGAAGCAACAAAAAAAATGTCTTTTAAAATCTAGTATGTTTTTGGTAAGAATAACAAAAAATAATTTTCAGACCTAATGTTTGTTTTCTTTTTAGTTATTTTTTTTTTTTAGTAAACTGTTAGATGATGAATTCTTCACCATAGACATAAATATTCTCTTTCTTTATTTCCTTAATTTTCCATTTTGACCACTAACTGCTTGCCAGAATGCCTTTTTCACATAAGGCTACAAATTGAAATAAGGGTTCAGAATCACTTCTTGCTTAAATATTTCTGGTTTTCTCCTATTACATTTATTTTCTCTTTTAAAATTTAAAATGTGGAGTAATGGCAGGGTAATAAACTACTACCTGGGATAATGGTAGAAGTATAAACTTATGAAATACATGAAATACCATAAAATTGAGCTCAAATTACCAAGTAGATGAGTTAGTGGTCAAGAGTCATTCAATTTACAAATATTTTTTATTTTCTACATATATTGAAACTATAGGGAAACGTTAAACATGGAAACTAAACTGGCGCACATGAAACAGCACAATAAAAGTTAGTAGGTAGTTTTTCCATAAATTGAGCAATTGACATATAAGACCTGTGGCAGTGGGGTTGTGAGCATCTCCCGTAGAGGTCTCCCAGCTGGCTTTCCGAATGCGCAGGGCTTGGGAGAGGTTAACAGTGGGGGGGAGGAATGGTGTGTCTGGTGCAGAGCAGAGAGTGGTTAACTGAGAGTTCTCAACCACTGAAAGCAGATAAAATGGGTGGGTGAGGCTGGATTAGATAAGGAATGGCTGTGAAAGCCAGACAGGTTTGGACTTGACAGTCAGCTATGGAATTTTTTCAGAAACTAAGGGTCAATGTCAGAGATAGTTAAGGACACCCCCTAGGGGCAGGAAGGCGAGCCCCTGCTCAGGCCTGAGCCTGTCCCTGGCCTCCTTTGCTCACGACCCACGGCCTCCACATGCCCTTCTTTCCTCCTCACCGTGGTCACAGTCCTTTCTGGTTCCTCCCATGACCATTCCCCTTGCCACTGCTGACCCTAAGCAAGCGCTCGGGTCTTCTCATATGTGGCCCCAGCCAGCACTCCTGGCCCGCTGTACTCAGTCAGGTCGGTCTCCACCACTTCCTAGATACTGTCCGTCAGTGGCCCCAGCAGTTCCTCAGGGCTGAATCAGTGCTCTCTTCTCATCTTACTGGAATCTCTTTCTTGAAACATCTTCTTCTCTTTGACTAGAGGGTGGTACTGGCCTCCTTTTCCCCACCTCTTGGACCAGCCCTTTTCCTTTGCTGGAAGCCCCTCGGCTTGACACTGTGCCACTCCCCGGGCTCCATCCCGGGCCCCTTTCCTCCAGCTGCATCCTCTCCTTAAGTACTGTCACCCGATCCCATCGCCTGGAATCCTGTCTGAACACCAACCACTCCTGAAGATTTAGTACCAGCTTTGACCTTGCCCATAAACAGTAGGTTGATATTGAAAGGGTATCGCCGTGACTCTCCTTGCCCCAGAATGACTCAGGAAACACGGGCCCATGCAAGAGATTTTATTATCTGAAAGAAAATGGCTGCCCCCAGAGAGAGGGAGCAGCAGCTCGTGGGTGAGGAAGCACGTTTTTAAGGAGTAGGGGTAGGGTGTGTTCTGCATTGGTGATTGGATCTTAAGGGGTGGGGGTCTTACCATGCCAGAATTTGCCTTCAGATATATCTGACATTTAGTGTATTTCTCCACTTGAGTGTCTTATGGACATTTCAAAGTTCATGTGTCTAAAATACAGCCCCTGCTTCTCCCCAAACCTGCTCCACTTTTGGTGTCCCCTCATAGTCAATGGTACTGCCTTTCACCGACCAGGTCAGCCAGAATCTAGGCATTGACCTCATACTTTCCGTTTGCTTAACTTCTGTATCCCAACAATCCTTTTCTGCTCTGTCTCCAAAATGTGTTCCAAATGTGTTTCTCCCCTCCTGCACCATCACTCCCCCCCCCAGCCTAAGCCTCTGTCCTCTCTCACCAGGATGGTGCAGTACCCTCCTCTTCCCTGCACGTGTTCCCTGCACAGCGGCCCTGAAACCTAAATCAGATCATGTCGCATCTCAGCTTGGCCAGATAGTGGTCCACTGTAGCTCTGCTGGACTTTCTGAGAGGTTCTCTGGGGGCTGCCTTCCTGACAGGGGTTGTTTCAGCCTTGGACTCAGATGGGAGAAGCTTAGCCTGTGAGATGCGCCTTCATCGGTCATAAAGATATAAATAAGTGTGATATGCATTGAGAGGGGAAGTATTAATGCTGATGAGAAGAATCAGGCAGGGATTCATAGAGAAACGAACATTTTGCCAGACTTTGAGGGATGAGTAGGTGTTCAGTGTGGCTCAGTACACGGGGGGAGATGGTGGAAAGCTCTAGGAAGGCAGAGCAAGGCCTGCACAGAGGCACCAAGTCTTGAATGGCATGCCCTTTTCAGAGAGTACCAGGCAGTTTTGGAGCAGGAGCCCAGCACACAGGTGAGAGAGGATAGCAGTGGCTAACCACACTGTAAAGGTGTGTTGGGCCTATTCTGAAGGACCTTGGATGCCAGGTTAGGTTCCAAGTTTAGGCAGTAGGAGCTGTCTTGAGGGCATTGTGCTAAAACATTCTTCAGAGTTCTGATCTAGCTCTCTGTGGAATGCGATCTTCTTACCCTCACCCATCTGACAGCAGTGTGGAAAGAGTCACAATTGTCAGAGTGTATCTCCTTGCTTTTGATCTGATTCCCAGGGGAAGGAAGCCCCCTGCTGGAATGCCTGGCCTCATAGTTAGGTGGGGTGCTCCTTCCCTCCCGTACCTCCCGTGAAGGTGGGAGTGCTCTTGATTGTGAGGAATAAAGTAGGGTAGTTTGGTTGCTAAAGGAGCTAATCCTCATACGTCTTTTTCTGGGAGAAGAGAGGAAGGGAATGTAAATGTTTGCTAAATGATCTTTTTAATTATCCTGTAGGATTAATCACAACGAACGGTTGGAGTTCCTGGGGGATGCTGTTGTTGAATTTCTGACCAGGTAAGGAGGTTTTTCTGCTGTTCCCCAATAATTACACTTTATAGGTAACATACTTAACACATTACCTTCTTTGTAATTAGCCAAATAAGGCATTGAAGTACTATGTATTTCATTTCTTCCGTAGAGCTTAAAGCTGCATGTCTGTGGCTCTTGCCCTGATAACTCGCACTCACTGATGCTGTAATGAGCAGATTACAAGATGAAAGGCTAGTGTCCCTCTCCTGTCAAGTTTATGTTCAAGTTGCTACAGCCACAAGAGATCAGCTTGTCTTGGTCTAGATGCTGCAGAGCTTATATTCAATTTGTAAAAGAAAGGGTGATATTTTAAAATGTCATTTCATTTTCTAGGATTTGTCTTTGATCCCTTTCTCACTCTTTCTGTCTCAAGGGAAGTAAAGCTTACAAGTAATTTTAATGACGAGATTTGGTGGTGGTGGGGTCGGTGCATGTGTATGTGTGTCTGTATGTGTTTTCTCTCTGGAAGTGTTTGAGGGTTCTTAATTTGGAGGTAAGAGGAGGGAAGTGCATTTTGTTTTCCTGTATTCACATAGTTTTTCTTTTAAAGGGACATATTTAACAGTGTCTTTTAAATAACACATGCTTCTCTTAGAACTATCCTGACATCTTTTTATGCTCTTTTCAGTCATTTCTTACCCTGAGAAGGACATAAGGAGGCAGAGGGCCTGCTCTCTGAGCCTGTTCTCACTTGTCACAGGACTAAACAAGCTAGGCTGCCCTGATCAACAGTGGATCTTAACCACTGGCATGAGATGCAGGAGAGAGCAGTTGCTGTTGTGGTCCAGCTTGATTTTCCATGTGACCTTCCCAATTCCCACCCTTTGCTGAGCACCCAGTTAGGCTTTCCTGAGGGCACAGCCAGCCATGTGTGCCATTTCCATCCTGTCCCTGTCCACACATGTCCAGAATGCACCCCACTGCTGCTGTGCTCAGGGCTCCCAGGCGTCTCTTCAGAGACCGCTCCTACACTGGTTTCCAGGCCATTTCAGAGTATCAGATAGCTTTGCTCTTAGCAGCGTGTGACCAGTTGTTCAGGTCTTTGTTGTCATGAGATTGCAGAGTGATCTTTTAATAGAAGAGAATATGAAAATAACTAGTGAATGTTGCTCTTTGGGTTTGAGCACATTCAGATATATCGAGCTTACTAGTTAACTTCCAAAGACTTAGTCAAAGCCTTTAGTTCAATTCAGCTGGTATCTATTGTGCAGATACTGTGTGTCAGGCCTTTTTCTGTGACTTTCTGACTTCATTTCTCAGACAGAATGTTGTGATGCATTTTTAATTATGTGCCCTTTTTGTTTTCCAGTGTCCATTTGTACTATTTGTTTCCTAGTCTGGAAGAAGGAGGATTAGCAACCTACCGAACCGCCATCGTTCAGAATCAACACCTTGCCATGCTAGCAAAGGTATGGCAGACATCTGAAATTTGTAGTGATGTCCAAGGTGCTCTCTCCAGCCTGTGAATAATTTTGCATTTGAATATGTAACTCTTTAGGGTTCATTAAAAGTTTAATATTTTATAGCCCAGGAAGGATTTTTTTGTTTGCATTTTAAGGATTCAGTCTTATTAGTTCTCTTACCTTCATGAGTTTCACAAGCAGCTAATGTACTCTATGGTGAGCTAACTTGATAACCAAAGAGGAAAAATTTGACAGATGTGCATGAGCAGAGTTAAACATTTGGGGATAGCGAACATGAGCGCAGAGCAAAAGAGGTGAAATATTTTGTATTTTCTCTTTGTGTAATATATTTCTGTATTATATTTGTTTTTCATTTACATTAAAAAGCAAAATTATGACTTTGGCTAGAATACTACAGGCCATTTATATACAAGGGATACCTTACACATCTTTAAGGATTTCCCCAAATCACAAATCTCAATAATTAGATTTAGGATTTAAGCTGTTGAGCCAGTCACACTGACTTAGCTGTTTGAACAGCAGACCCTTTTCTCAGTTTAGATTCACGGTAGACATTTTACTTACATTATGGCATTTGATGTCCCTGTCTCTGTGTGGTGCCTTATTGTAGTAAACTGTAACAGACCGAACGTGGGCACTGGCATTGGTCCTCAGGATTCCAGTCCACACCCCTCTTCTTACAAATGCAGGTGGGGTGGGCATCGATAAATCGTTGTTCTCATCTCCAGGCCTCTGCTTCCTCATCTGTAAAATGGAGCATTAGCCACACAGGGTGTGGTCTTGAGAACCAAATGAGTTTGGCATTTGAATTTTAATGGTTCAGCTTATAAAGTGCTTGACACATGTCTTTCATAGTAATCACCCAGACATGTGAATAAATTAGTAAGAGTTAGTTGTTTTATTTGCTTCTACTGTTGTTCTCATAAATCATTACATTTTATAGATCTATGGTTTAATCAGTAGTAGGGGGAACTGTAGTTTGTAAATCTCCAAACACCAGTGATCCACAGGAAAAGTTTTTGTGAATTTTCATGAATGTTGCTGTGTGAAAAATTTTTTCTTCATATGATAAGTGTTGAAATTTGATAGGAAAGAATTAATGAAACCCACTTTAGCTTTTTTTACTAGCTTCTTAATTTGATCTTGCTAAGACATTAATTATACTCAAAATGTGGTGAATTTTAGCCCTTGGTTTTTAGTAATAAAACCATTGTTTTATTTTATGTAAAATCCTCATCATAGTTACAGTGGTAGGCTTTGACCCAGTTTCAGTGGCATTTGAGAATGTAAGCAATGACACCTTAATGAGAAACTATAGGCAACAGGTATGCTAACTTGGTTTTAGGGCCTCACAATAAATGAAATTTTATAACTGCAGCATAGTTTTAAAACAATGTAAAATGGCTTCCATGTTTATTTGATTTAATTGATAATCTGCTTCCTGATAGTTCACATAAATATCCATTGAAAAGACATGTTAATAAGTAGTTGTCAAGCCCCTCCCACCATTGTTTTCTTTGCAGTTTAAGATATAGTGGAGTTGCATAATTATTTTTCAAACAGTTGTATGGAGGATATTTACAAAGTGGGGGGAATTGCCATAGCATGAAAACAAAACCTGTTACATAGCACACTGGGTGCTTTACAAAGCCATGAGTTACGACAGGGATGGCCAGTTTCTCCCTTCAGATTTCTGTGGGATCTTCCTCCACCCCAAATACTGCCATTCCCGTAGCATTCACCACTCATTTGTTCCAGCAGAAGGCAGTGGTGGTCTTGGCTGTCTAACTAGACCAGTGGTTCTTAAAGATTAGTTAAGGGGAAAATTTGATGGAGGATTGCTGCTGACCCCTTTGAGAATCTAATGAAAGCTGGAGGTCAGCTCTCCAGACAAATGAGCATTTTAACACATGCAATGCATAGTTGAGCACCACTCTCCTTTTTAAAAGTTCCACTAATATCTACATCAATAAAATAAAAACAAAGTTATAGAGCAGGGATTATGAGAAGTTGGTAAATTCATACATTCCAGAATAGTGCTTTGTAATATAAAATTTGGCTTGCAGTCTGCTCTCAGTCAGGGCTCTAGAGATAGCACACGAGTGGATTTTCCCAGTGAAGTTATGAAACAGATGAAATTTACATATTCTAGTATAAACTCTTGCACTTGGGGATCCATTTTTTAAAAGAGGTATTTTCTGCTGTTGTACTTGTGGTAGTCAGACCTCTTATTTGAATATATTTTATACTCATAAATTCCTAGCAATACAAAATACTAATAGCATGTATATCTTGTTTTTATTGTCTCTGTCTTTTTCCAATATAAGTGGATATGGATAATTTTAACATACATAGCGAGGCATACAAAATCTGAGTATTTTATCTGAGAACTGATGAGACTGATATGGTCCTAGGGTGTTCATTGACTTGTGACTTGTTTCATATTATGTGGCATGTTATTGCCTAGTAAGTATTTATTGAATTGAATTACATGGTAATGGAAACAGATTTATTGCATGCTTATGCAATGTCTGTATCTTCTCCTTTTATGGAAAGACTTATGATTTCCATTTATTCAATCTCAGGAGTTTTATTGAAAGAATTCATACTGTGTCTGGTTCTAAAAGGACTTGAACTGATTTGTATATTATGATACAATAGGATAAGAAATAAGTAGGTACTGAACTCAAAGGAAAGAGAAAATATGGGTAAGACAATAAAATGAAGTCAAAGGTAAATTCAGTATACACAGATATATTCAAAATTGTACACAATTTCTAGAACTGGTCCACAAATTTGGTTATAAGCTTTTCTGAGGCCAGATAAAAAAGGGAAGCATAATTCATTACAAATAATATTCCCAGAGCTCTTAGGAAAGCCAACCCATTGTACAGAAGATCTCTCTGGACTTTCAGAAAGGTGAGTGTGGTGACCTTATAAAGGGAACCAAGTACAAAGACACAGGGGCCCCAAAAATCCTTATCAAATTATATAGACATGTAAGGCATTTCAAAGTCCTCTGAGGGTCCCCATTTCCTTTACCGTGTAACAGATCTGTTCTGTGTGGCACAAACATCAGTACCACAGAACTCTGGACTCAAAGAGGTTTACTTTGGGTTAGGTTTGTGTCACCCCAGACATACTGGGTGAACCCAGGGGCCCATGGTTTTGGAATAGAATCGAAGAATTCCAGCTTGAGTTAGCACTGAAGTAGAAATTGGGCAGCTCAGATCTGATCAGTCCTGAACCTGCTTGAGTCACCAGAGTTCTCAGAAGCCTGCTTGGAGAACAATTGAGATTAGTAAGAGCTGAACCATATGTAAAGACTCTGAATGTACACTGAACTCTTTAATATGCTGACATGAGGCCAATTAATTTGTGACTATAGCCTCTTACTCCTAGGAGATGTTGAGTTACTATAGTTATAATTTTGCCACATTCTTTCTTACTTTGTCATTTTTAATTTTGTAGAAACTTGAATTGGATCGATTTATGCTTTATGCTCATGGACCTGACCTTTGTAGAGAATCAGATCTTCGACATGCAATGGCTAATTGTTTTGAAGCATTAATAGGTAATTTCTCCTTTTATAATCTAGTTTCTTGCATGTCTAAAATGTCTGGAGAGCGTGTAAAATTCACCATGGAGATTTGGGACAAAATTCCTTGTTCCCAAATCAGGTGAGGTCCTTAGGATTATCGTTCCTCCAGAGCAGCAGCCATGCTTTCTTTCCTGGCAGTCCTGGTGCCTAAAGTGGTGTCTGTCATGTACATGCTTAGTTACTGTATAACTGAATTGAACTGAAATAAATTTATACAGAGATGGATTACTTTCCAGATTTGATTCAGGATCACATGAATAAACAATGACTAAGTTGCTGGTGAGACTCTGATATTGTTTCTGGTCACATTTTGAATTATTCACAAGACTTTCTGATTTAAGCATCTTGCAAACTGCACATTTTTTAAGTTCCAGGGGTTGATTCTGTATCTATTATTTCTTGACTTGAAGTAAGACTGATCCAGACAGTTTACTTCATCACTTAAGCTTGTTTACTTTTTTATTGTAACCGGAATACAGTTAGCTGTTGGTACAAGAAAGTTAGGAAGACTTAACTAGCTGGTAATTACAAGTATGTTTTACAATGAAATGTTACAGTAGATTGACAATTCCTTGAATTTTTTTTTTTGGTAAATGATTGAGTATATTTTATTTTTCAGAGGTTTTTGTACTGCTTTATCAATTTATCTTATTCCTTTTGAAAACGAATATATAAAAGCTTCCCTTATAGTTTTATGCTGATGATGGTAGCAGGCGAATGTTTAATAATTATCCCCAGTCTTTTCACAGCTATGTCTGTTTTGCACAAATAACATCTATTTTCAGAGTTTGTCATGTGGAATTACTGTCCTCTGCACACATACTTTTGACAGTAAGTGTTACAGTTGGCTCCAGAGCCAGGCAGATGTGATTCAGTTCCCTCTTATCATTTATCAGTTCTGTGTCTTCACCAAACTGTTGAATCTCTTTGAGCCTCAGTTTCCCCATCTATCACATGCAGATAGTATCACTTACCTCAGAGTTGTTGAAAGATCTGAATATCCAGACCTGGCAGCATCCAATCCAGAGCAAAGTTCCATTTTCTTAAAACATTCCCCAAATCACTCTCTGCGGCCCAAGGCTTGTCCAACACCTCTTACTGGGGTGTGCTTATAGAGGTGAAGGTAAGATTGTGAGAAGGCTTTGCATGGTTCTTAGGGCATAAATGGCCCCCAAACCACTACACTACTATTACTATCTTGGCTGCTGCTATTGCTACAACTAGTGATAAATAATTAGTGTATTTCATTATCAAAAGCCCTGATGACTGAAGTATCTTAATATCATACATGGAAACTAGTCTTTCTGAAGATAATCTATAAAAATGATTTCAAGAATATGTGACTGCCCTACTCCAGAGTTACTTGATGCCCAATTAAAATGTTGCTGTAGTACTTACTAGTTATGATTAATGGTAAATCCATGCCCAGTGCTTGATTATTTAAAGAAACTTTCAATAATTATTTCAAATTAATGGTAAAACTTTTCCTGATTTTTATTTGCAGGAGCCTTCATTGACCTGAATTCAGGTTTTATCTGTTGAAATTTTTTATGGTTTGAAACGTAAACAATAAATACAGAAAATAAAACATAACATTTTCATAAAATCAAGTACTTGTGCATAGTTTCCTTAGTAACTTCATAACCATATCCTTCATGATAATTCATATTAGCCCTCTTTTTTTTCCAGTATTTTAGATTTTAGGAAATTGAGATTTCATCCTTCCATCTAATTTATAATACAAAACATAGCTGAAAGCGGGAAAATGCTATCTTTAAAACAATTGCTTTTGGTCTTGTTGGTTTTTTCCAAGTGGGTTTGGCTTGCCTTTTTGCTTTTTATAGAGACATGTAATTTTCCCCGAATTTGAATGCAGCCTTCCGTTTGGCATTCTCTCCCTCTCATCTAGGAGCTGTGTACTTGGAGGGAAGCCTGGAGGAAGCCAAACAGTTATTTGGACGCTTGCTCTTTAATGATCTGGTATTTATCTCAAACCATTTTATTTTTTTCTCAGTTATATATCATTATAGAAGATTTTATGTCAATTAGTTTTTGTATTTGAATAGAGTGTAGGATAGATTAAACCTCCAAATCTAGATTTCAAGTACATTGAAATAGTTTATTCAACGCTGTTGCAAATGTGAAAGTTGTGTGGACATTTACATTAGGAATTTGTCTTCTCCCTGAAACCCCCTTTTCGCTTTATTTTTAAGTATCTTGAAGTTAATTATGATTTTCTCTTTTATAATCATTGGGTACCCACCCCCTGCAGATTTAATTGAAAGCTTATAGCCTTTTGGCTTCTTTGTTGTGATTTGTTTTTATGTAAATTATGTAGACTAGATAAATGTATATTTATTTTAGAAAGTCAGTTCATAGGGAGTTTCTGATAGGACTATGAATTAAGGGTAGAGTATAGAAACTTTTTTTAAAGCAAATTATAGTTCAAGAAAAAATGATAGATTCCAAAACAGTTTCTGTTGTTACCAAAATATTAAGCTATTAATATTGGTAGAGTTACCTTTTTAATCCTGCTTGTAATGGAGCATAGTGGTTGCTGTTTGTACCAAAACAAGTTAATTTAACATTTAAAGGGAGAGGTAACTCTGTATTCCAAATTGAAATGTCATTATAATTGGTTGAAATAGCCCTCATGGAGCAATAAAGAACCAGGCAGCCAGTGTTTTAACCCTTTGTGAAGTCTTCAGCTTGCGTGGCTGTCAGATGTTATTATTGTATTACTTAGGATGGTTTAGAAAAAAGAATCCATAGTTTTGAAAAATGTGACCTGGATGATGTTCATATTTGAGGATTTGACTTTTTAAAAATCCGTTTTATAGAAATGTGATGATTTTGTGTGTGAATTTTATCCTGGAGAGGAAACTACCTACAGACGTTCTATGTCCCCCACTGTCCTACACATATAAATAAGTGTGTGTCTTGATTTATATCTGTAAGAGACGGCATGTATTTTTAAAGCTTTTAAGTCTTTCTCAAGCCTTAAAATATCTTGGTTCCCAGCTTCATCTTTTGTTGCAATTTCAGCCATCTCTTTGCTTTGTCTTCCCTCTAGTGTTGCCTCTGTGTGCTCCTCACCCCTTAAGTAAACCCCTTTCGCCTCCTCCCCTGTCCCTTCTCCTGTCTTACCTGCATCCCCCATCCACTGTGTGTTCCTGAATTTTACGCAGTTTTACACCTTATGTTCTTAATTGCATCCATTTTCGTTGAGATTCTTTTATCTGTTGAAACTGCTTCTCTCCCATTTGTCTACTTAGCAAGCTTATCTTATATTTCCAGTACTGAGTGCAATCCTGGCATGTGTAGTGCTTAATAAATATTTGTTGAAGGAATGAATGAATAAATGACAAAATGAGAAAGCTGTGTGTGAATATTATCTTACAGATGGGGTAGCTGAGATTCAGAATTCATTTGGTGTGTCTTTTATGAAACTGGACAGGGCCTAGTGTGCTATGGTCTTCCCATGTCAGCGTTGTGAAGTATACACACTCAGACTTTCTCACTTGCCATCCCTGTCGGTTCACGTCCATTTGTTGTAGTATGTGAGAGAGGTTGGTGAGCCATTGTACTTTTTTTTGAGTAATGGTACTGTGAAGGTTTAATCAGCCAGAGACAAACCTGTGGGCCTACAAAATCAGATTTATTGATCCATGGAGAGGGAGGCTGGCATCCTTTCTTAGGCCTTGGCTGGTGCTGACGGCTTCTGAGGAGGGTGAGGAAAGCAGGTATCAGTTCTTGGTTGATTGCTTTGTCTGAAGCCGGACTAGAAGAAGTAAGAGATTAATTTGGGATTGGGTGCTGTGTGCATTCAGGAGCCAAGGGCCACTTAGCAACTGAAAGTCCCCCATCATTCATCTTTATTCAGGGAATAAGACACAGCAAAGCAGGTCAGAGGACAGTGTGGTAGAAGAGCCCATATTCCCTCAACACGGGGTCCTTTTTGGCATTTTACAACTGCTGCAAGACCTTGAGGGAAACATTGTTTCCTGTTAATTTTGCAGCAGTCTCTATCTGTGTGGCCTCCCAGCCCTGTTCACAGCCGGGCTGTTGTTTCTTTCTCAGCCTGAACTGGTGTTTACTCTTACAGCCCCAGACAGTGTTTGCTGGTTGATTGCTTTCATCTCTCTGTACCCTTTGTGGCTTACCCAATGCATTCAGGGCTGCTGTTTGAATTTGATCATCCCAACCACCCTCTCAGAAGGACAGGAGAGGTCACTATGTAATCTTTGCTGTTCTCCCACTCCCCCCACCTTTCTTGTCTTTACACATCTATACCAAGTCTCCCACCCAGGCCTTCTCTGGAGCCCCAGAAATTGGAAAAAGTGTCTTTTCAAATTGCCCTGGGTTCACCTGGTTGGTCCACAGATACCTCATTTCAACAGGTTTAGTGTTGAACTCATCACCTTAGCCCCAAAACAGAATTCTCTTCTATTTTTATCATCTAAAACCAGAAACCACAGGATCTTCTTTTGTCCTTAAGCTTTTTTCTCCCTATGTCTGGTTGCAAACTCCTATCAGTTCTGTTCCAAACAGCTCCTGAATTGGTTCACTCCTGGCCATCCTACTGCTTTACTATTTGTCCTCAACTCTCACCTCTAATATTTACCTGATTGTCATTCCCCACTGCTCTAGTCCCTCCCTTGTACTATATTTAGTGTTGTCTTCTTTTAATGCATAGATTTGATCATGGTCTTTCTTGCTGAAATCTTTTGACTTCTTTACTGCCTGCCAAAGTCTGGACTACACCACATACCATTTAATAGTTTCCATAATGTGATTACCACCTCTGTTTTTAGTCTCCTTTTTTTCACTACTCCTTCATTTCATAATAGGAATTCTCTTTTTAATTAAAAAAAATTTGAAGACTTAATTTTTTTAGAGCAGTTTTAGGTTCACATCAACATTGAGAGGAAGGCACTAAAATTTCCTATACACCCCCTTGCCTACCCCCATGTATAGTCTCCACATTTTGTCAACATTCCCCAGCAGAGTGGTACGTACAGTCCACGAACCGACACTGACACATCCTCATTACCTAGAGTCCCTGCTTTACCTTCAGGTTCTCTCTTGGTGGTGTACATCCTGTGGGTTCAGGACAGATGTATAATGACATGTATCTATCATTATAATAATTCTCTACAGAGGTGAAAGGCCCTAAAGTCCTCTGTGCCCTGGTCTATTAGGAGTTACATTTTTGTGCCTGTGGATTTTGAGACATTTTTTGTGCATTTCTGGTGCACTGCTTTTGATTCCCTCCCTGTGCTGATTTGCCAAATTCCTCATATTCTTTGGGATACATTTGAAGAGTTGTCTCTTCTTTGAGGCTTTATCCAACACCCCCAGGCAGAGTTAGCCTAGCACTTAGTATATATCGATATTATAGAACTTACCACAGTTTATTCAGTTGCACTTATTTATCTCCATTCTTCACCAGTAGGGAGAATGTCTCTTTGAAGGCAGGGATAGTGTCTTATTCATCTTAGTAAGCTAATACAAAGTAGCTATTCAACAAAAATATGTTGCCTCAAGACATGTTCCAACAGTCAGTGAACATTTTCCAGGAGAACAAACTGAAGGTAGAGGCTTTGCCTAAGGTTTAGCCTTGAGCTAATAAATGGTAGAATGGGGATTCCAACCTAGATCCTTTCCAGGATATTTTCTGTGACAGCAACACACAGCAGAACCTCATCTCAGTGAGAAATAGACAGAATTCCAATAGTCTAGTTGTGAGGTGTTAAGCTGTTGCACCAATATGGGTGGCAGCAGACATCAAAGGAGAAATCAGTGTTTTTGAGTGAAAAACACATAGGAGAAAAGAGAAAAGGAATCACAAATTTCCTGAGAATTTTGAGCTCTGGAGATTGGAGTGTTTTGGCAGAGAGCTGTTTATCATTATTGCTGACACAGTCACCTTTAGTAGCATTTTCTGGGTGCCAGCACTGGGTTCCACGCTTTGAGTGCATTGATCTTTAAGGAGGCATCAGAGAATAGTTTGAAGTGGGCACTATGATTATCCTTGTCTTGTGCTTGGGGAAAGGAAGGCTCTGAGAGATTAAGCAACTTGCCAACATGGAATCAGGATCAAACCCAGGCAGCCTGGCTCCTAAGCCTGCAGTCTTCCCTAACACCACACTGCAGCCTATAAGGTGAAAGGTGGAAAGTTACTTAGTCATTTAGGTGTGAGGTAAAAGGTGCCCATTAAGGTACTTTGAGTTAATGGACTTGGAGCTTAGATGAGAGGTCAGAACTGCTGCAGAGATGGGTAAGCCATCCAAACTAAGGTAGCAGTTAAGGCAATGAGGATGGTGTGCTTTCTGGAGGAGCAGGTAATGAACAGGTCAGGTGGGGGCTGGAGTTGGGTAAGGGTTCATTTCAGGTATAGCAGGAAGAAAAAAGGAATTGAGAGAATAGGAGAAATTGCAGGGAGTGACATTGTCAGTGTCATTCGTGTTACAGAGAATTCAAGGGAAAGGTTATTGAATTGGTTAAGACAAGCCCTTTAAAATGCCTTATGAGTTTCATATTTAGGCATTTAAAAAATTCTGACCAAAAAAGCCCCTATGTGTATTTTATCAAGATGGAAGTTGTACAAAAATATCATGTCATGTAGTTCACCTTGTCAACATGTGTGTCACAAGTGATAATATATTTTCCTATACTTCTCCCCACCAAATTCTTAAAAGATAGCTTTCCCCCTTTAAAAAAATATTTTATTTATTTCAAAAACCCAACATCAAAGTCAGAAAGTAGATTCAGTCAGAGGCTCCCTAGAGTCTAAACCTGAAGGAAAAACACTTTAATCCTGAGAAAATTCTAACTATACATGCCTCTAGATTTAGCTCAGTGGAGAAAATAATGTACTGGGCTTTTCCATAACATTCACTATTCACATATTTCAAGCAAACATTTGTAGTGATCAGTCTTTTATGAAACTGGACAGGGCCTAGTGTGCTATGGTCTTCCCATGTCAGCGTTGTGAAGTATACACACTCAGACTTTCTCACTTGCCATCCCTGTCGGTTCACGTCCATTTGTTGTAGTATGTGAGAGAGGTTGGTGAGCCATTGTACTTTTTTTTGAGTAATGGTACTGTGAAGGTTTAATCAGCCAGAGACAAACCTGTGGGCCTACAAAATCAGATTTATTGATCCATGGAGAGGGAGGCTGGCATCCTTTCTTAGGCCTTGGCTGGTGCTGACGGCTTCTGAGGAGGGTGAGGAAAGCAGGTATCAGTTCTTGGTTGATTGCTTTGTCTGAAGCCGGACTAGAAGAAGTAAGAGATTAATTTGGGATTGGGTGCTGTGTGCATTCAGGAGCCAAGGGCCACTTAGCAACTGAAAGTCCCCCATCATTCATCTTTATTCAGGGAATAAGACACAGCAAAGCAGGTCAGAGGACAGTGTGGTAGAAGAGCCCATATTCCCTCAACACGGGGTCCTTTTTGGCATTTTACAACTGCTGCAAGACCTTGAGGGAAACATTGTTTCCTGTTAATTTTGCAGCAGTCTCTATCTGTGTGGCCTCCCAGCCCTGTTCACAGCCGGGCTGTTGTTTCTTTCTCAGCCTGAACTGGTGTTTACTCTTACAGCCCCAGACAGTGTTTGCTGGTTGATTGCTTTCATCTCTCTGTACCCTTTGTGGCTTACCCAATGCATTCAGGGCTGCTGTTTGAATTTGATCATCCCAACCACCCTCTCAGAAGGACAGGAGAGGTCACTATGTAATCTTTGCTGTTCTCCCACTCCCCCCACCTTTCTTGTCTTTACACATCTATACCAAGTCTCCCACCCAGGCCTTCTCTGGAGCCCCAGAAATTGGAAAAAGTGTCTTTTCAAATTGCCCTGGGTTCACCTGGTTGGTCCACAGATACCTCATTTCAACAGGTTTAGTGTTGAACTCATCACCTTAGCCCCAAAACAGAATTCTCTTCTATTTTTATCATCTAAAACCAGAAACCACAGGATCTTCTTTTGTCCTTAAGCTTTTTTCTCCCTATGTCTGGTTGCAAACTCCTATCAGTTCTGTTCCAAACAGCTCCTGAATTGGTTCACTCCTGGCCATCCTACTGCTTTACTATTTGTCCTCAACTCTCACCTCTAATATTTACCTGATTGTCATTCCCCACTGCTCTAGTCCCTCCCTTGTACTATATTTAGTGTTGTCTTCTTTTAATGCATAGATTTGATCATGGTCTTTCTTGCTGAAATCTTTTGACTTCTTTACTGCCTGCCAAAGTCTGGACTACACCACATACCATTTAATAGTTTCCATAATGTGATTACCACCTCTGTTTTTAGTCTCCTTTTTTTCACTACTCCTTCATTTCATAATAGGAATTCTCTTTTTAATTAAAAAAAATTTGAAGACTTAATTTTTTTAGAGCAGTTTTAGGTTCACATCAACATTGAGAGGAAGGCACTAAAATTTCCTATACACCCCCTTGCCTACCCCCATGTATAGTCTCCACATTTTGTCAACATTCCCCAGCAGAGTGGTACGTACAGTCCACGAACCGACACTGACACATCCTCATTACCTAGAGTCCCTGCTTTACCTTCAGGTTCTCTCTTGGTGGTGTACATCCTGTGGGTTCAGGACAGATGTATAATGACATGTATCTATCATTATAATAATTCTCTACAGAGGTGAAAGGCCCTAAAGTCCTCTGTGCCCTGGTCTATTAGGAGTTACATTTTTGTGCCTGTGGATTTTGAGACATTTTTTGTGCATTTCTGGTGCACTGCTTTTGATTCCCTCCCTGTGCTGATTTGCCAAATTCCTCATATTCTTTGGGATACATTTGAAGAGTTGTCTCTTCTTTGAGGCTTTATCCAACACCCCCAGGCAGAGTTAGCCTAGCACTTAGTATATATCGATATTATAGAACTTACCACAGTTTATTCAGTTGCACTTATTTATCTCCATTCTTCACCAGTAGGGAGAATGTCTCTTTGAAGGCAGGGATAGTGTCTTATTCATCTTAGTAAGCTAATACAAAGTAGCTATTCAACAAAAATATGTTGCCTCAAGACATGTTCCAACAGTCAGTGAACATTTTCCAGGAGAACAAACTGAAGGTAGAGGCTTTGCCTAAGGTTTAGCCTTGAGCTAATAAATGGTAGAATGGGGATTCCAACCTAGATCCTTTCCAGGATATTTTCTGTGACAGCAACACACAGCAGAACCTCATCTCAGTGAGAAATAGACAGAATTCCAATAGTCTAGTTGTGAGGTGTTAAGCTGTTGCACCAATATGGGTGGCAGCAGACATCAAAGGAGAAATCAGTGTTTTTGAGTGAAAAACACATAGGAGAAAAGAGAAAAGGAATCACAAATTTCCTGAGAATTTTGAGCTCTGGAGATTGGAGTGTTTTGGCAGAGAGCTGTTTATCATTATTGCTGACACAGTCACCTTTAGTAGCATTTTCTGGGTGCCAGCACTGGGTTCCACGCTTTGAGTGCATTGATCTTTAAGGAGGCATCAGAGAATAGTTTGAAGTGGGCACTATGATTATCCTTGTCTTGTGCTTGGGGAAAGGAAGGCTCTGAGAGATTAAGCAACTTGCCAACATGGAATCAGGATCAAACCCAGGCAGCCTGGCTCCTAAGCCTGCAGTCTTCCCTAACACCACACTGCAGCCTATAAGGTGAAAGGTGGAAAGTTACTTAGTCATTTAGGTGTGAGGTAAAAGGTGCCCATTAAGGTACTTTGAGTTAATGGACTTGGAGCTTAGATGAGAGGTCAGAACTGCTGCAGAGATGGGTAAGCCATCCAAACTAAGGTAGCAGTTAAGGCAATGAGGATGGTGTGCTTTCTGGAGGAGCAGGTAATGAACAGGTCAGGTGGGGGCTGGAGTTGGGTAAGGGTTCATTTCAGGTATAGCAGGAAGAAAAAAGGAATTGAGAGAATAGGAGAAATTGCAGGGAGTGACATTGTCAGTGTCATTCGTGTTACAGAGAATTCAAGGGAAAGGTTATTGAATTGGTTAAGACAAGCCCTTTAAAATGCCTTATGAGTTTCATATTTAGGCATTTAAAAAATTCTGACCAAAAAAGCCCCTATGTGTATTTTATCAAGATGGAAGTTGTACAAAAATATCATGTCATGTAGTTCACCTTGTCAACATGTGTGTCACAAGTGATAATATATTTTCCTATACTTCTCCCCACCAAATTCTTAAAAGATAGCTTTCCCCCTTTAAAAAAATATTTTATTTATTTCAAAAACCCAACATCAAAGTCAGAAAGTAGATTCAGTCAGAGGCTCCCTAGAGTCTAAACCTGAAGGAAAAACACTTTAATCCTGAGAAAATTCTAACTATACATGCCTCTAGATTTAGCTCAGTGGAGAAAATAATGTACTGGGCTTTTCCATAACATTCACTATTCACATATTTCAAGCAAACATTTGTAGTGATCAACAATTAAAGTGTGGTCTTATGGACCTAAGAGTTTGGGAAATAGACATGAGATGTTTTCTACTCCTCTTAAAACTGTTCATATAACAGTGAATGAGTACCTAAAATAATGGACATTTGAAATGAGTTTTAATTATAATAGTTGCAGTTGATGCACATTTCTGGGGAATGGTAAGCTAAAAAATATGATTAAAACAGCAGCCCAGTGTATTAGGTTAAGTAAATGTGTAACTTAGTTATAAAAGGTGTCTTTGAGTTCTGGGGGTGGGGGTGGCTCTTTTCCTGCCCAGCTTACTAGGCTAATTAGACTCACTATGGGCAGTTTGAGTGGTGAATACACTTAAAAAAAAATTAGTTGGCTAGTACTATTGAATTTGCAGTAAGTGGAGTCAGCACTGAAATAGTTCAGTATTTCAAGTAATGGCATTTTATTTAGTAATCTCCAGTGTGTTAAATGGCTCCCTCAATCTTTAAAGGCATCACTTCATTTTCTAGGATCTGCGTGAAGTCTGGCTCAATTATCCTCTACATCCACTCCAAGTAAGTGTGACCTTCCTGTCTGCAGTGAGGTTTATAGCTCCCAGTGTTCATGTGACTCTATTGCCTTTATTCCCCTCCTGTTTTATCCTTGGATTCCCTTCAGTGATGTTATGACTTTAAGCTGGGAGTGTCAGAATTGGAAAACTTTGGAGCAAACAGTAAAATGAAGCCATGCATTTTTGGCATTTATGTGGTCTGGGGTGGGTGGGGGAGGCACTGGGAATCACCTTCCCTCACAGGACAAGAAGAACTACTCATGTGGTTGTGGTTTGGCCCCCCATTCCTTGCTCAACAAAATGATATTAAAGCAGAATGTATTGACTCCCAGTTTATCTTTATGCCTACTATAGAGAAAAATGTTAGGGAAGCAAGTCTGAGCTTATTCAATAAGTAAAACAAATACTAAATTTAAAAAATTGTAACCTAATTTGGATTTTAGAAATTAAAGACTTTGACTCAAGATTGCGTAACATTTTAGTACAGTGTGATGACTTCTACTTAGGATTTTGGAGTCTAAAAGATCTATACACCCTTTTCCCTAGTTGGTTTAAAAATTCTTACTAGTCTTTGTTTTTATTTCTGTTTTACTTTGGATATAAATATAAATAAAAATAAATAAATACACACACACTTGTTTATATATGCATTTATGCATATATTATATATAAAATAAGAATCACTATTGGCTGAACTCTCACAAGAGGCTTTATAGTAATAAATGGCATTAATTCAGAGTTCTTTAGAAATATTTTATTACTATGAAATTGCCTGAAGTTGTTGAAAATGTAACATTTTAATTGCACTTTTTAAAATATTTGCTCTCTGCCAGTTGTTAAAAGATTGTTGTTATGCGGAACATCTGCCTACTGGTATTATAATCTTCAATATAAGCTGAATTCAGTTTGAATGACGTTCATTCGCTAACGTAGGTTGGTCCCTGGAAGACACACAGCAATCAAGTTACTCGAATGCAGTGGTTTTTGGGGCAGTCCGCAGACCAGCAGCATTTATGTTACCTGGGAACTATCAGAAAGCCAAATTCTTGGACCTTACTCCAGTCACACAGAATTGGGGTAGGGCTTGGCTGTCTGCGGTTAACAAGTCCTACAAAGGTTCTGATGAACACTGAAGTTTGAGAACCAGCACATGACTAGTAAATATATATATTCTCTGCCAGCAGTTCTTCAGCTGCCTCTTCCCTGGAGAGTTAGTATAATGCTTGGGATTTTGAACTGTCTATGTACAGTACTTGGCCTTGAAATTTGATAGAAGATTGGAAAATATTATTTGAGCCATCTTTAAATATTAGGTTTGTTTGCCATGGTAAGAGAAAGAAGCTTTTGTGTTTTATTGGCATTTCAGAAATTTCTGCCCATGGGAGAAGGAATTTTACAAAATACTATCCTAGAATTGATAATTACTCTTATAACCAAAGACTGCATATGATTTTTATTTTTTTCTCTTTTCCTGTAGCTACAAGAGCCAAATACTGATCGACAGCTTATTGAGACTTCTCCAGTTCTGCAGAAACTTACTGAGTTTGAGGAAGCAATTGGAGTAATTTTTACTCATGTTAGACTTCTGGCAAGAGCATTCACATTGAGAACTGTGGGATTTAACCATCTGACCCTGTAAGTTTAGAAGGCCTCATGTGATCCTAATGTGGCCATTTAGACAGGCAGTCCCAAACCCTTGCTGCGCCTTTGAAAGGAATTGGAATTTCAAACATATTTCCAGGAAAGTCACATCGTGAGATGGACGAGTAGCCAGACACTGGTGTGGACCAGGGAATGTTCCAGTTCAGTATTTTTGGTCTCATTTTCATGCATCTTATTTCTTTGTAAAGCATAAGAGAAGTGTGAGGAGAGTAAAAGCTTTTTCTGTAAAGGGACCGATATTAAATATTTCAGGCTTTACAGGCTGTGTAGTCTCTGTCGTAATGATTCGGCTCTGACATAGTAGCATCAAAGCAGCCATAGATAAAATGTAAATGAGTGAGCATGGCTGTGCTCCAATTAAGCTGACAGACACAGGCCATGGGATGAGCTTGTATAATTATGAGGAAAATAACCAGATGTTATTTCTTTGCATGTTGTTTTTTTATTCAGTGTTTGGCTCCTCTCTCCCAAATCAAATATTCACAACTTTGTTTAAGGTCTAAAGATTAAAGATTCTTGTTACAGATTTTGTTTAGTGTCCTTAAACTAGATTCCAGATTTGAATAATGGAGCATGCATTTCAATAAAAAGGTAAAGATTCGGCAAAGAAAATCCCAGGGCTTTTTGCTTTGTTTTGTCTGTATCGAGATGGTCAGTGCAAGATTGTTGTCTGTACTGTATTTTTCAGTAGGTTCTCCTCATGTTCTGACTAGGCACTATTTACCTCCCTCTATTTTAGCAATTGTTTAATCCTGAGAGAGGATTCACTTTACTCTTCTTTGAAAACCAACCTGTGTTGACTTAATCTCTTCTAAATTGAGAGGCCTGAAGGCATTGTATTTGGTATTGTGCTTTAAAGCAATTTGAACACAGTCTTTATAATCATTCCTTTTTAAAACTTTTTTTTTTTAAATACACAAATCCTTATTGGTCTCTTTATATTAATGTTCCTTTTTTCAGAGGCCACAATCAGAGGATGGAATTCCTAGGTGACTCCATAATGCAACTGGTAGCCACAGAATACTTATTTATTCACTTCCCAGATCATCATGAAGGACACTTAACTGTGAGTTTATATGTTAAATCATTGCCTCCAATAAGATTGCTATATAATAGAAAGCAAAAAGTAGAAGAGCCAAGTATGTATTTACATAATTAATGATGTAGTTCTTGGTGACTTTAGCATATCATACAGTTTTATTCATTATGCAAATTTTGTTCAAAGCAATATACAGTAAGAACTCATTTTATACTCCTTGATTTAATGGTTACTCTGTGCAAGAAGTTGAGCTAGGCTTCATGGGGGGTGCAATCATTAGTCAATATTTAGTTTGTTAAACTGCTTCTGGATAGACTGTTAGAAAAAATGAAAAATGTAAGCAAATAACTATCAATTCATTCTCTGCCCACATATATACATATAGTATGTGTGTGTGTATACATGTACACTATAAAAAGTATAAGTAAATGATTATAACTAAATACAGGGAAGTACCACGCTAAATACTATGAAGTGGTCTATGTAAACTGCTGCACTTAATGCTGTTTAGGAAAAGATGAGATTTCTTTCAGCCATGGAGTTACAAAAAGGCTATGGATATGATGATGTCTGAGCCTTTAAGGATGCGTAGGATTTGGCTATTGGGAGCTAATGGGAAGAAATTTGTATGCATAGACATTCCCTGCATTGAGACTGCCTAAACCAGAGGCACAGCATGAAAACTCAGAAGGGAGATTGGCAGTAGGGACTTGGTTTGGCTAGAGCATGGTGGAGCTGAAAGGGACTTTCAGAAACAGTTTGGTTTATGATCACAGTGAAACAGTCCCCATTCCTCTCACTTTTATTTCATTTTATAAAACTTTATTGAGCTTTTTTGTTTGCTGTATTCTCTTTTTACTCTGTGGAACTGATCAATAATAAGCAGAATGGTGAACAAAACATATCTGGAAGCCAGTCATGATGATCTCTCAATGCACAAGGAATAACCTTTGAGAAGTCCCTGTAGAATTGGGCAAGGAGAAAGCATATGCTTTAGTGGGAAAAGAAAAACTGTAGTATGCCAGAAGATATTTTGCTCATGCAGACTTTCTTCTTCATCATGCTTAAAGCAAAAAATAAGTCCTTCATACTTTGTATCTCTACAATTCTTGTGCATGTTTTACTTTGAATAGAATTGGATCTTATCTCTGCAACTGTGAACCATGGAAATAGTTTATGTGAGATGCAAATATTGGAATTAGGGAGAATATGGTGATTTGGCTATTTTTAGATGTAATTTTTCATCAGAATTTCTAAGCCCAACAGAATATGGTCCTTTAATGTACTCAATGAATATTTATTGTGATCTGACTCTGCCTCTTGTACCATTTATGATAAATCAGCAGTACTCTTATTTTCAATTAAATTTAAAATTAACTGTATGATTACCATTTAAAGTTAACTGCTTTTGGATTGACAGGGACATGTTTTCCTCTTGAATTAATATTAAATTCTTAAGAACATATGAGCATTTCCCAGAAATAAACTACTGTCTATTATCTTGCTATATATGAGGGAATCAATAAATGCTCATTCACTACCTTCCACTAGAGAATAGAAATCATAGTTGTAAGAATGTCGGTTGGTCTGAGAAATAGCCAATCCAAACAAAATGGCTTGAAGTAGTAATTAATTTATGGCCATATAGAAATGTGTGACTTAAATACATATATTTATCACTGTATTCCCACAAAATTACTTGTGAACTCTAGGATTTATGGAGGTGGGATGTTACAGGTCAGCAAGCTTACTGCTTCCCATTTTGGTCACTGCCTACAAACCTCCCTCCCTGGGCCCCCGCCCCCCAACATCACCTTCCAAGCCCTAACAGATATGAAACTAAAACTCGGGCATGAGTCGTGCCCAAGATCTAGAAAGGTTAAATGAGGACTGTGCAAGAGACGCCAGTTTTGTGTTCTTTCCACAGTCACTTCAATGCCTTAACTGTAGTTTTATCCTAGATGTGTTTATCAGCCTTGCTGTCATAAAATTAGGGAATTTTTGAGTAGTTTATTAGAAAGGTGTTAATGACAAGTATGATGTGGTGGTTTCATAAACTATATTCATAGAAACCGGTAGAAATCAGTAAGACCAGCTGATCAGCTGGCAAACAGATGATCTGTCATCCGTTAAATACATATGTTAAAACTACCTCTCATCAGTATTGACGTGATTGTCCCATTCCTCCTCCTTGACACACTGTCTTCTGTTGGCTTCTGTCATGCTGTACATCCCTGGTTGTCCTCTCACCTCTTCAGCTACTCTTTCTTAGCCTTTGTTGCAGTGTCATCTTATTCTATAGAGCTAATGAATATTGCAGCATCTAAAAAGCTCACTCCAGGGCCATTTTCTCTTCTTACTAGACTTTCTCCTGGGCGGTCTTGTCCATATGTATTACCACAGTTTCACTTTATGGGCAGCTCACCTCCAAATGGCTCCCTTCAGCACCAAATCTATTCTGAGCTCCAGTCCCAGTTGCATTCTCAGCATCTCCACATGTCCAAAACTGAACTTACAGTCTTCTCCCTTTTGGGTCCTCTTCCAGTATTCCCTGAGTAATTGAATGGCAACACCGTAGGCAGGGTTGCAAGTCAGAAACCTAGGAGTCACCTTTGATTTCTCCCTCTACTACTTCTCTTCCCTCTAATCTAGACCATTCGCAAGTCCCAACAGTATTAGTCCTTGAGTGACTACCTCATCTTCATTACCCAAATCCTTTCTACCAACCTTTGTTACCTGGACCACTGCAGTAGTTTCTGCATAGCTGTCAAAATGTTACAGGAATATGATTGACAAAGAGACCCAGATAGAAGGGGCAGCACTTTAATTAAACTGCAAACGGTAGGAACCCTAAGGTGGTGTCCATACCGAGCACCAGGCAGTGCAGTGTGCTTGGCTTTCCCCGAGACGGATGCTGCTGCTGGGGGAGCTGGCCTTTGCCATTCTAGTGGGCATTTCTGTACTTTTCCACGGTGGACACTGTCTCGGGCAGAAGTCGTTCAGCAGGCTCCGCTTCCAGGCCTGTCTTGTCAGTGTTGAGGAGTCCTTTCACTGCTATCAGCTCTTCCCATCTCATGTGCTTCACAAGCTCCAGCCAGCAAGCAGTCTTTTCACAGCAAACCTCCTATGACCACAGCAGTCATTCACCTTCAGTCACTGGGTTCTTCCTCTTCATCTCCCCAACCTCTTAGTGTTGGAATGCCCAGTTCCCAGACATCTTATCTTTCTGTTGACTTCTTCTCCATGAGGGGTCTCATGGCTTTGAATACATCTGAGCATTCCTTCCTAATTTATGTCTTGAGCCTTCACTTCACCCCCTAGTACCAGGCACATATCCATAGATTTATAGCTCTATTCCAATATCTACACATATAGATATACTGGAAACCCTAGCTGGATTTCTCTTAGGCATCCCAAACCTAACACATCCACAACAAAACTGATTTTCACCCCAAAACTTGCTTTTCTCTAGGTGTTCTCCGTATTACTAACAATCATTCCATTCTTATAGATGCTTAGGCTGAAAACCCTGGAGTCATACTTAATTCTGCTCTTCTTCTCATACTGCATATCCTGGCCACTAGCATATCTTGGTGATTTTTCTTTGAAAGTTTGCCGGGAATGTGACTTCCTTTTACCAGCTTCATTGTTACCACCCAGGTCCAGGCCACTATTAACTTTCCCCTAAATTATAGCTATGGCCTCCCAACTGGTCCATCCCTCCAGCCCTCAGCCTCTGTGTAGCACATCATCTAGAGGGATAGCTTTTAAAGGGAAGTTGGATTACAATGCTCTCTGTGAAGACCTTCCCAATATTTCCCATCTCAAGGGTAAAAGACTGTATTGTTACTAGTGAGACCCTGTATGGCCTGCCTTTCTGCTGCTCTCTCTGACTTTGTCTACTAGACTCTTCACTTTGGCTTCTGGATAATTCCTACAGGACACTAAACAAGCCTGTGCCTTGGGACCGTTGCACATGCTGTGGCCCAGTCCCTCACCTCCTTCAGGTCTTTGTGCACATGTCATCCGTGAGACCTTCCTTAACCTCTTGTGCTTAAATAGTGACTTCCTCCTCATGTCCCAGACCCCTGTCCCTATCCTGGAACCTTATCTCCATTTTCTCCTTAGCACATACTGTATATTTTATTGTGTACTCTCTGTCTGCTCTCACCAGAGTGTAAGCTCTATGAGGACAAAGGTTTTTGTCTGTTTTCTTCATTCCTGATTCCCTGGGTCCTTAGAGAAGCGTGGCATGTCAGTGCTCAGCAATACGCTTAATGAATGATCATCATACCCCTGTCTGATGCTCTTCATTTGTTCTTCGGACAGCAACTGAAGAACAAGCAAGGTGCCCTGGGTGGTCTGGCCTGCCCATCTCCCTGACCTCGTCTCACATGGTCTTCTTACTCCACCTCTACACTGGCTGTGTTGCGTTCCACTGAGTCCTTTCCTGCCATCGGCTCTGTACCTGGTGGTGTTCTACCTGGATACCATTTCTGCTTCCAGCCCTTACTCTCATCTACCTAGTATCTCCTACTCATCCATTAGCTATCAGTTCTGACGTGACTTGTGGATGTTAGGAAAACTTTCTCTGATAGCCCCACAGCCAAATTCCATTTTCTTTTTCTTCCTGGCATTTATTTCAGTTTGCCTACCCTACTAGCCCAGAAGCTCTGTGAGATGTTTTTATTTATCACCATCTCTGTATGCCCAGCAGTGCCTGGCATATGGCAGGCTCTCAAAACATATTTGATAAATAAATAAGAGCGAGTTTTGCAGGCAGCTATGTCATATAGAGAGGAAAGCGGAAGTAGCATTGGAGACAAGTAGCCTGTTGTTTTGTGTATAAGGTAAGAAGCTGAAACTTATTTATGAATGTCTGAAGATTAAAAATAGTTTAAAATTTATGGAGGATTACTTATTGCTGTTGCATTTATATGTGGGCATGGTGTGGCAAATTATTATTGTTATTAAAGAACACACAGCTACATTGATTCACACTGGAAGGAATTAGTTAACTTTGAGCC